CATGTAGTAATTTAAGACTCTTGCATTGTCGCTGGCCTTTATCCTGTCGGACATTTTGCCAACTTACAAATATATAAACAACACCAAAGGAACCAACTATTTTAAGTCAGTAGCACTCTCGTAATTTTTAGTATTTATTATCATATCAGTGTAATTTGAACTTGAATGTTGCTATCTTTATCAGAATTTTAAAGTTCTCTAGGTATCGAATATTGCTCGTGTTAGTTGCACGAAGTTGCATCCACAAGGGCACATAGGGATCGGGAGATTTCATTTTCATGCAATCAACATGAGTGTAATTTTCGTTTCGTTATCAACGTCATGCAAAATGATAAAAGAAAATTGTAATAAAACTTAAGGGAAATGTTTTTTCAAGTATATGCGTAATGTCAATGATCATTCGTGACATCAGGAGTCGAGCAATATAACAGATAGATAAACCGTATTCTCACCAAAAAAAGAACATCAACAACAAAAACAAACTTATAGGTATATAGTGATATGCTTAATTATTACTAATAAAGCCATATACTAGCACAGGTCTACATACGAGCGAATTACTTGATTTATATATACCGGACATGACAATGTACATAAAATACATATACAATTTATATATCAATAGCCCAAATATGTTTGTCCAGTCAGCTTTTTTCTACAACATAATTCAAATATTATACCTTGTTATTTCAAATAAGATTTGAAAGACCCTGATTATATTTATCATGATATTACATGTTTCATTTATATTGAGGCATTACATAATAATTTCGCGATCCTGTAATTCGCGACAGACTGCTATACATGTACTTAATTACGACACTGCCTTGGGAGTCGATTATATAGTGAAGTTATACATATATATGATAGGCGTAATTCAATGTTGATATTATAAAGATTAAGAGGGAAGACTCATGTGAATTATATCTGGACTAAAGACAAGCGTCTGTTTTCTTTTTCTTCAATCTGTCCTAGAGTGAACACTTTATTGTATATGTAGTTTATTTATAAATAATAATTGAGCCGTGTCACGACAAAACCAACATAGTGGGTTTGCGACCAGCATGGATCCAGACCAGCCTGCGCATCTGATCAGGATCCATGCTGTTCGCTTACCAACCCTATTACAAGTAGAGAAACTGATAGCGAACAGCATGGATCCTGATCAGACTGCGCGGATGCGCAGGCTGGTCAGGATCCATGCTGGTCGCAAACCCATTATGTTGGTTTTGTCGTGACACGGCTCATATTAATTCGTTATGATATTTCCGCGAACGTGTGAATTTTGTTTGCCTTCTCTGTCTATACATGAAACGTTAATGCGTTAATGCCAAGAGCAATGTCAACCAGTGCAACGTCTTTTTTTACAGATAGAAAGAAAATGAACCAACTAATTGTAGAAGAGATTTTTGTTTGTTTGGGCGGAGGGGGCAACATTTTTCGCCTTAATCTACTTTTATCAAACAAAACTTTACTATTAAAAATTAAACGTAATCTAGAATTAAAACGACCATTTACATACGATGTGCCATTCAAACAGTCGGACAGACGAACGGGCTGACGGTATTTTATTACGTAAAAATAACGCATGTGACACAATAATCATACAGAGTTCATTTTTATGCTCCCCGAAAAAATTTCGGGGGAGCATATAGTCGCCGCCTTGTCCGTCCGTCCGTCCGTCCGTCCATCCCCTTTTCTTGTCCGGGACATAACTTTGAAACAACAAGAGGTATCAACACGAAACTTTGTAGGTAGATAGATCTGATTGAGTAGGTGTGCAGTGCACAAGAACCGTAACTCTGCCTTGCCTAACTTTTGAATTATTCCCCTTTGTTTATTTTTACACTTTGAACTTTGTCCGGGACATAACTCTAAAAGTATAAGAGGTATCAACATGAAACTTTGTAGGTAGATAGATCTCATTGAGTAGGTGTGCAGTGCACAAGAACCGTTACTCTGCCTTGCCTAATTTCTGAATTACCCCCTTTGTTTATTTTACACTTTGAAATTTGTCCGGGACATAACTCTAAAAGTATAAGAGGTATCAACATGAAACTTTGTAGGTAGATAGATCTCATTGAGTAGGTGTGCAGTGCACAAGAACCGTAACTCTGCCTTGCCTACTTTGTGAATTTTCCCCCTTTGTTTATTTTACACTTTGAACTTTGTCCGGGATATTACTCTAAAAGTATAAGAGGTATCAACATGAAACTTTGTAGGTAGATAGATCTCATTGAGTAGGTGTGCAGTGCTCAAGAACCGTAACTCTGCCTTGCCTAATTTTTGAATTATTCTCCTTTGTTTATTTTACATTTTGAACTTTGTCCTGGACAATACTCTAAAAGTATAAGAGGTATCAACATGAAACTTTGTAGGTAGATAGATCTCATTGAGTTGGTGTGCAGTGCACAAGAACCGTAACTCTGCCTTGCCTGATTTTTGAATTATTCCCCTTTGTTTATTTTACACTTTGAACTTTGTCCGGGACATAACTCTAAAAGTATAAGAGGTATCAACATGAAACTTTGTAGGTAGATAGATCTCATTGAGTAGGTGTGCAGTGCACAAGAACCGTAACTCTGCCTTGTCTAATTTTTGAATTATCCCCCTTTGTTTATTTTACACTTTGAACTTTGTCCGGGACATAACTCTAAAAGTATAAGAGGTATCAACATGAAACTTTGTAGGTAGATAGATCTCATTAAGTAGGTGTGCAGTGCACAAGAACCGTTATTCTGCCTTTCCTGATTTTTGAATTATTGCCCTTTGTTTATTTTACACTTTTAACTTTGTCCGGGACATAACTCTTAAACTATAAGAGGTATCAACATGAAACTTTGTAGTTAAATAGATCTCATTGAGTAGGTGTGCAGTGCACAAGAACAGTAACTCTATCTTGCCTAATTTTAGAGTTATTGCCCTTTGTTCATTTTAACACTTTGAACTTTGTCAGGGACATTACTCTAAAATTATAAGAGATATCAACATGAATCTTTGTAGGTAGATATGTCTCATAGCATAGAAGTGCAGTGCTAAAGAATCATAACTCTGCCTTGCCTTATTTTGAAGTTATTGCCCTTTGTTTTTTTTTACTTTTTGACTTTTTGTCCTGGACATTACTTTAAAAACTATTAGAGATATCAACATGAAACTTTGTAGGTAGCTAGATATAATTGGATAGAACTGCAATGCTTAAAGAACCTAAACAAAGCTTGGTCTAATTTTGGAGTTATTGCCCTTTGTTCATTTTTACACTTTGACACCCGGGACATAACTCTGATATCATCAGGAAACTTTATAGATAGATAGATCTCATTGAATAGAAGTGCAGTGCAAAAAAACATAACTCCGCTTTGCCTAATTTTGGAGTTTTTGCCCTTTGTTCATTTTTTTTATACTTTCCTGTGTCCAGAACCTTCTCGGGGAGCATCACCCGGTTAAACCGGTTCTTGTTTCATGGGATACTCAAACAGGCAGGAATAGGTCTCTTGTATGCTAGACCTCGAAAAAAAGTTTTTATGTCTTGTTACTCGTATATTTCTTAAATAAAAGTTTTATCACCGACTCTGGAATTTTACGGATGTAGAAATGGCTAAACTTGTTTGGATGTTAAAATGCCTGAATTCATTTGGGTGAAAAAAAATTTCCTAAATTTCTTTGGGTGAAAAAAAATTTCCTAAATTTCTTTGGATGTAACAATGTCTATTGAAAACACACACGCGCGCTCACGCACACACACACACACGCACGCACGCACGCACACACACATATATGAGCCGTGTCACGACAAAACCAACATAATGCGTTTGCGACCAGGATCCATGCTGTTCATATGCTGTTCGCTTACAAACTCTATTACAAATACAGAAACTGATAGCGAACAGCATGGATCCTGATCAGACTGCGCGGACGCGCAGGCTGGTCTGGATCCATGCTGGTTGCAAACGCATTACGTTGGTTTTGTCATGACGCGGCTCATATATATACACATGTATAGTAACAAGAGAAACAAAAAACCAACAAACCAACAAACCGTCCAACAGGAAACATACATGGTGGTTTGTTTTTGGTATATAATAGTACACATATTTGAAAAGTCTTAATTAGGGAATTTTATAGAAAACCTTTGATATAATTAATGTCTAATGCTTTCTTTGCCTATGTTTTAATTACATTCATGTTTCGCTATTTCTGAGCTGTTTTTAATCTTATTTTGAACAGGATACACGAACATACCAGCTTTAGAATGGAAACTTCTTAAATACGCATACACACAGCTAGATATAATCTGAATTGGACTCCATTTACTTTTCAGATCTTTTAAATTAAATGACAATATCTAGACATTAGCGCGATCATCCGAACAATATTACACTTAATTTTGAACATCCTGTAAAGTGTCTGTTCTGTTACTATTTATTGTGTCTATATGTGCATGTGTAAAGCCCATTTTCTTTTAATTAAATTTGTAATCTCAAAATCAAGCAAAAAATTTATGTTCTGTTTATGAAGCGTTTTACTTAGAATGTCATTTCATAAACTATATCAAAAGTAACTACTGCGCGAGGTTATATAAAACATACATGGGAGCGGTGGCCCAGTTATTAAGGTGTCTGCCTCTCTACCCAGAGGCTCAGTCACGACCATGTTTCTTTATATGACACAAGTACTGCATGGTTGGTTCCAGGAAACGGACTCAAAAGTGATTAATATAAGTTGTTTCGCAATCGAGCTTAAATAAATATACATGAAATAATGTTGTAATAGATAGCAGTGAAATTTTAGAAAAAAGAAGAATCTAGACTTTGAAAGAACCTGGATATACGCAAATTTAAGTTAGTTTTTACCCAACGTCAAACAGCTTACATCTCATCAAAGTGAAAAAAATGTATATAACAGATGTTTCTGCGACAGCATGGGTTTAATTTGTAATGTCGATATTATCAACTCATCTCAAAATAAAATGAATAATATTGATATAAAATATTTTCATATTACACACTAGTTAAATGCATTTACATGTATTGTTTTCTTTTCTAAATTATTAATCGTAAAGAAACTCGTCTGTGCGCAAAAAGAGCATGCGACATAACTGAGGAATAATAAAAATGTGTAGTTTTATTTTATGTCTTGTCTTTATAATAAATATTTTGCCAACTTTTACAAGCCTGGAGGAGGATATATTTTGTTCAAGTGAGCATCTACATCAAGCTATGCTGGAAGGGAGCTATGTACTTCGTCGGGTTAATGTCACAAAAATTCCGCTGAAAAAGACAAGGGATAAAATAAACAGGTATATATAGTGTCGAAGTCAATCTAAGCTTTAGAACCATAGCTTTATTTAAAGGGGGTGGGGGCGACATCGGAGGTGAAGAATAAAATTATTCTGTTATGCTGTGCCTAACGTAAAATGTGCCACTGAACGATGAATCTAATATGATTCTTTATTCCTCTTGCAGTTATTTGATCTCCATAAAGAACTTTAACACGATACTAGTACGTCTTGTTATAATGGCAATTATGCGAACTATACAGAATCTACAAACGTTTAAGGTTACTTAAAATTACATATTTTAAATATATTCTTTATATACTTCACTTATAATAACAATGCCAAATACAAAATTTTAGGTTCAGGTTTGACATTGGATTTTACAAATCGTTAAGTGAGAAATGGACGGACGGGATGGCTAGACATCCAATCTATATATATTCAATGGTCAGAGATCTGTATTCTCTACGCATACTAGAGAAAAATCTGCCTCACATGAGTAAGTCTTGCTTTACTGTTGTCTACAATTGTGGCATGTTGAGAATCAAAGCACAGAAGGCGCTGAATTTGTTTGCGTCTCAGAATGTCAGAAAGGTGAAGGTTGTGAGATTATAAACACATTTGTTTTTGTATAGTGTCACCAATGTTGTTTCCAGTGTTATAACTGTAGTAAATTGGCTATTTTAAGGCTAATTGCAACACTGATATTCAATTCAATGTTTATTTGGCTTAAACAATTAAAAAAAAGTTGCCTTAACCCATGACGTTATATACACGCCTTTATACGCCTTTTTCACCCTCCCCCTTTTTGTTGTCTCAAATGGTGAAAAAAATGCCTTATTTAGGCCCCCAACACTTGTTTTTGTTTGAGAAATGTTGTTAAAAAAGTGACCTCTTTTTCGGCGCGGCCCCCAACCAAAAGATACATCAGGGGGTTGCCAGAAGGGGGGATGTGCCCCCTTCTGTTTGGGGGTTTGAAGGGGGCGGAGTCCCCCTCATCGCCAAGAATATTTTGGACTTGTGAGAGGCTATAAATGACCCCAGATTGATCATAAGGTAACGTGTAACCAACGCTGAACAGCATTTGACTCTATCTCAATCCATTGAGAAGTTGCAGCACTTTGAAATCAATTTTGATGGAAAAAATCAACGCAAAATAGTGATTTTTGGCAATTTTGAGATGTCCCCTCGTTGCCATGGTAACAGAAAATTTAAGCCTGAGCATGTTGTTGCAAGGGCAATGGTCCAGTCAACATTTGTGCCAAGTTTGATTAGTGGTGAAGCAGTTTTATAGTATTATAGCAATTTGAACTTGTAACGGGAGACTTTTCTATGAAAACAGCCATTTTTCACAAAATGCTCATGAAGTAATGGGTTAACTGGGATTCGATCTCCAGACCTCTCGCTTTTTAACCGAGCGTGTAACCGGAAGATTTAAGATAAACCACATTATTCTAAATTAAGGTTTGTAACCCTTATTAATGTCACGTAAACCTGTTGTTTAGCACTGATGTAAATAATCATGGAGCTTAATATAAGCATGTTTATCTGTAAAAAAGAACACAATATAAGAAATCTTTTACCAATCTGGAACTTTTTTTTTAAATGCGCCTGTCATTTGACAATCATTACGCAGTGATCTCCCCTTCGTTTTTCGGCGTTAGTGGACTTATAAAGGGAAGTAACCGCTCTACTTCCGGTATTTTCAAATAAGCACATAAGGGTCTGAAATTTCGCTACCATTATTTGTTTGGTCTGACGACCCAAACAAATAAAAATGAACATCCTTTTGGAATATCTCGGCTATTATTCATAAAAGTCGTTATCCAATGTTTAATGGAAAGAGCCGAAAAGATGCGATTGATAAAATCAGATCTCTTGGTTGCATCAATTGTGACAAATCTCCTATTCAGATATCAAATTCAAACTTTTATCTAAAGTAGCACTTTTTAAGTCAAAAACATACCAGAATTTCAGGAACTAGACAAAAAAAATGCACAGGATTATTACTTTAACGTTACATGTATATTATTGAAGAGAAAATCTAATAAGCCCGTCTTAACTCGGGCCAAGTCAACGTATTACTTGTTGAGGAAGAGCAATAAATTGAGTTCATGTTCGATGGATTTAAGCCTGTACACTTTATTTTCAGTTAATGTAGACAATTTACCAACTAAAGAAGACCTCGAGGGAACCATGAGCGCTCTAATAAGGTTACAGTATACTTATGGACTCAAAGTAGCAGAAATGGCTGCAGGGATAATTGCCGGTGAAACGTCCATGTCACTGTCCGGTAAATATAACATAATGATTACTCTGTGAAAGCTGTGACGGAAGATCTTTCTGTCCCAGGTGAAGGCAATTTCAGTAGAATCCCTACTAAAGACCACCCCGGAATTAAGACCACCCCGCTATTGAGACCATTTTTTAAAAGTACGGAATTTTCTGTTCTTTATGTCAATGGTTACATGATCCAGAATTAAGACCACATGGCTTATCCACTTTTAAGACAACCAGATTCAGTCCCAATTCTTTGTTTTGTGCTATTTTTGATCCCACTATTGAGACCACTGATTAAAAGTCAACACCAACCTAGATCTTAAATTTGTTGTTATTATAAGTTTGATGCTCTAAGGCATGACACCTAATTTCACAAGGTGTCAAAATTATCTTATATCACAGAGATATTGTATGAAATAAGCAGAGAAAGTAAATTTTAGAGTGGTCTTATCTTGCTTTAAGCACATTGATTATGCGAAGAACTAATTTTTTTATTTGATGGGTGAATTTTGTACATCATATAATAAATAATATTGAAATTGATATTGAAATCAGACAAAATAGAATTTGATATTAAATTTCTTTCTCCCCATCAGATGTAATTTATAACATAGTTTTATGTTGTATTTGCAGGTATATATTGTATGTTCATACAAAATGACTAAAATAGACCATGGTCAAAAATGTGTAAGCATTGATAAGAATATTCACAATTAAGACCACCCCGCAATTAAGACCACTTTGATCCAGTTCCGATGATGGTCTTAATTGAGCGTTTTTACTGTATATGAAAAAACATATATTGGATACAGTTCTGATATCATAAAAAGCATGACGTTCGGCAGATTGGTATTCTTAATAAAATATCAATATCTTTATAAGCATTTTATAAAGCAAAAAAAAATTATCAATAAAGTAAAGGACATAGAAAATCCGAATATATCCCTTAGACACTTAAAAATTTCATCTTGATGCATGCATTTATTTCCGGTCTGGTCTGCAAAGTCTATGACAAAAATAAAACTTATAAACTTAAATCATATGTTGAAGCTGAAGATTGCCTTTTGATTGGTGCGCAGGCGCATAAAGAAAAGAAACATGAATGTGCAATCGAATGGTTGAACCAAGCTCTGATAGTGAACTCTACAAGAACAAAGACCTTAAAGGCCAAAATATATTCAATCAAATGTAAATGTGAATCTAGGGTAAGTTGATTATTTTAAATGTTTTAAGGTTTGTTGTTTTTGTTGTTGTTTTCTGTTGGTTTTGTGTGTGAGTTTTTTTTTGTTTTGTATATTTACTTGTTGTTGTTTTTGATGTTGTTTTGTTGATGATGTTGTTGTTGTTGTTGTTGTTGTTGTTGTTTAGATCGGATGTAGACTACGAATATTAACAAGATTGGAGATCTGCACATTTTATGTTTTGTTTTAATCAAATATAATGATAAATATTTTTTTTAATAATAAGTTATATAAGCCATAAATAACTGACCTGCGTCGTATTAAGAAAACGCAATTTTTAATAACAGTAAAGTCCCTTATTACAAAAATAATCTGATACTTCATAAAATTTAATATGGTAATCGTGCAAGAGAAATACAGTATACATGTACAGTAACTGACATATCCTAAATTCTCGTTTACAGATGGGGATGAGAACTGATGCTTTAATGTCTGTAACACTTTGGCTGAAAAATGGTAAGGTTTTAGCTGTTTTTGTTTGTTTGTTGTTGTTGTTGTTGTTGTTGTTATTTCAAACATGGGATTGGCATGATAAAATCAGAATTAAAGATATTAATATAATAATTAAAGATATTTATATAAATATATGTTTAAATATGCCCGAACTGAGAATTGCGAAACTGCATTACATGTATGGAAGATGAATGAGGAATACAAGTTGTATTTGTATGTAAATATTGTAAAGTGTATAAAGCAATAATATCTGCTACAAAATGATATTGTGTGAATCTTGAATGATAATGCTTCCAAAATGCTTGTATGAAATAAATATGGTAGAAGAAGTACCTTAAATGCGAATTGCGTGAAATACACGAAATCATTGCTAAATCAGGATAAAATCCAATTGAGCCGTGTCATGACAAAACCAACATTATGGGTTTGCGACCAGCATGGATCCAGACCAGCCTGCGCATCCGCTCAGTCTGATCAGGATCCATGTTGTTCGCTTACAGACCCTATAACAAGTAGAGAAACTGATAGCGAACAGCATGGATCCTGATAAGACTGCGCGGATGCGCAGGCTGGTCTGGATCCATGCTGGTCGCAAACCCATTATGTTGGTTTTGTCATGGCGCGGCTCAATTTATGATAGGATAATTATAATTTGTACATCAGTCGTGTGTATTTATTTACAGAGGTACAGAGGCATTCTATGTTATCACTATTTTTAGAATGACATGTGATTATGGAACCATCTACTGGTGATAAATTTTATAAAAAAAAATATTCCAAAAGATGCATCTTTTACCCTTTATAACTGCTTTATTTACAACGGAATGAATCACCTGCAGCTATAAATAAAATCACAGAAACAAGCCTGAATGTGCCATTAAATTGTCAGTGTTTTGATATTGTCTTAACTTGATCATTGTGGCAGCAATGGTAAAGCATGGGAAAGAATATTAAACATTTTTTATTTATTTTTCGCCTAATTCTTGATAAGAAATGCATAAGACATACAACAACAATCTTCGTAAACTAGCCTTTGTAGAATATACACACTCTGTTGAGAAAAACAACGTCGCGGTTAGACTGTAATGCTTTCGCCAAAAATTCTAACATCGCCAATATCGTAGCAAATCCTTTATTTCCGGAATGTTTTTTTTTCTTCAAAATCTTGGACATCAGATTATTTACAATCACTCATCATTTATCGCTATGTACTAATAAACCGTTAAAAATTATTGAATACCTATAAGATCGTGAAAAATATCCCGGAAATGACCGATTTATTACGGTATTGGACGATGTTAGATTTTTTTTGGCGGGGGAAAATATTGCCGTAAGACTTCCTTAAACATATAGATAAAGACAGTATTGAGGCCATAGAATGGCGCGACAAGATTTTAAACATGCCAGATCGGAGAAATTATAACGTCTTGGGTGATGATATGCAAAATTACATCACGCTTTGTCGTGGAGAAATGACAAAGGTAAGTTGATGATAATGTGTTTTTATTTTTATTTTAAAAACTAAAATAAAGTTAAACATGGTATCATTTAAATAAACAACAACAAATACATGTATTGAGATTTTAAACCTCTTCTAAAAAGATAAACCGTAAAGTTGCAATAACAGTAGGTAGGAAACTATATATGTGTTGAGGTATTGTAGTTTATCAGTAAGCAATCTAAATAAAGTTCATATCAACTTATAGTTTCCATTTAGATCTGATGACCACCTCATACAATGTACAAATGTATATGTAAATAATAGAGTCAATTTTTAATGGGCAAGATTGTTTTGCCAGTTTACCTGTTGGCACTATGGACAATGTTTGTTCTTGAAATCGTAAAAATTGGTTTTCCAAGGGCTAAATTTGGAAAACTCATCGCTTTCAAAATAATGAAAGCTCGACAATGATTGGTAGTTTGAAAGATCAAGAGAAGGTGACTACCTATGGGTGGATATGTCCTAATGCGTAGCGTTATTAGGAGCTAATTGTAATCAGATTGATTAGTAAGTAACTACCAAACGATCAATAAAAAATGATTCAAGTAATTTCCACAGGAGTCGTACAATTCTACGATCATGTCTAAACTTCATTGTCGTTTCTATGACAACAACCGACATCCTTTACTGGTCCTGCAACCAGCACGACAAGAAGATGTTAGAGATGATCCGCATATGAAAATTTATCATGACGTCATATTGGATGGAGACATAAAGGTCCTAAAGGCCATTGCTAAACCTAAGGTATATAGATATTCTAATTCTAACATCATGTAAGCAATATGCATTGGAAATTTTACATATTTTATATAAAAATATATATTACATATAATTTAATACACATAACATAATTGTGTGTGACATTGTGATTTTAGAACAAAGAGCACTCGCAACGCGCCTTAAATTAGCATAAATGAGCCATTTGTTCATCATTTACAAATAATATTTTTTTACTATAACTAATTTCTTTCTTTAATTATCTACTTCAAACTTCAAATATATGTTACTTATTATCACCCACATCATACATGTGTGACAAGATTCATAATTCTTACATGAATATTTCCAGAATTATCCCCCCTTGAACTTGGAATTTCTTTTATGAAATTGTTATTTTTTGCTGCAACTTCTTTATTTTTGAAAGGATTTAATTTAAACTTTGAATTTAAGTTTCATATCAACCCCCATTAAATGATAATATGACAAGCTTCATAACTCTTGCGTCAATATTTTCAAATTATCTTCTCGTTAAACTAAGAATTTCCTAATTTGCTGTTACTCCTTCATTTCTTCAGGGATTTAATTCAGACTTCAAAAATATGCTTGTCATCAACACCTTTGTCATATTTTAATAACTGTAGCTCTTGGTTTTCCAGAATTATCTTGAAACTTGAAAATTATTTGAAAATTGTTCTATTTATATTATAATTGGCATCCTCACTATACTTAAGATGAGTGGCCTGTGTCGTTACTCACATCGTGCATGGCAAGGCTCATAACTCTAGCATCTTTATTTAAAGAGTTATTTCCTGTTTGATCTTTCACTTTAAAAACTTTATATACTTTTTGCTTTTATCATTTTTATTACTTACGAGATTGACTTCAAATTTCAAATTGTTGTCTTTTCCTTGGAGCAGAGAAATGTCTGTTTAACTTTTATTGACATGGTCACATGCATATCATATATATATACATGTATATATATATATATATATATATATATATATATATATATATATATATATTATATATATATATATATATATATATATATATATATATATATATATATATATATATACAAGTAAAATCTCTAACTTGCCGTATATAAGCAAAAACGCTAATTTAAATTTGCCGTAGCTTTCGGCCTTGCGGCCTTCTTCAGCAGCATTTATTTCACATACAAATATATCAAACAAAACAATGGAAGTGACGTAACGTCAATGAACGACGCCCGCCGTGGCGTTGGTTGCCGTCTGCCGCGTTTCATTTGATGGAAGAAAATTCACGCAGACAGGAGGAACAGCGATTGGCTCACGATTAGGGATGAATTACGCATCTACATATCTTGGATCATGGGAATCACAGCTGATGACGATAACAGATAAACTTCCGCTTGAGTATTTCCGGTATGTTGATGACGTTTGGGGCCTTTGGACTCACGGTATCGAGTCGTTAAAAGCATTCCATGAGCTTGGGAATAACCTTCATCCAAGAATAAAATTAGAATTAAGATATTCAGCTGAAAAACTTGAGTTTCTCGACGTAATGACGAAGATTCAGAATGGCATTTTAATAACAGACCTATACACTAAACCCACAGATAAACAAACACCTGTACTTGCATAAAAATTCGTCTCATCCGGAATCAACAAAAAAATCAATACCATATGGACTTGCCCTCCGTGCTAAGCGAATATGTACTAATGAATCGACTTACAAACAACATAGAGAAAATATTAAAACTCAGTTACAGAAACGAGGCTATGAAGATCGACATATTGAAACAGAATTAAATAAAGTAGATAGTAAAAAAAGAAATGACCTATTACATTATAATGAAGATAAAGAAAACACTGAAAGAATCCCCTTGGTACTGACATTTTCCAGAGCGCTCCCGAATGTAGGACAAATAGTACGAAAACACCTACCTGAATTACACACCTCAGATAGAATGAAGGAAATATTCCCGAATCCACCAATTGCGGCATTTAGAAGAGATAATAACCTACAAGACATTCTCGTTCATAAGAAACACAATAAATTATTTTTTCAACAGCCGAATTCCTGTGCTCCTTGCAGATCCAAAAAGCGTGCGATTTGTCCGTACGTTATTGAAGCAGACACATTCATTGGTGTGAACGGGGCCTCGTATAAGGTTTGAAATCAGATCACGTGCAAATCTACGAATGTTGTGTATGCAGTTTATTGTAAGCGTTGCGAACGTTATATTTATGTTGGAGAAACAGGGGATACGTTGTACCAAAGACACCTTCTTAATTTATCCAGAATACGAACCAAATACAACGATCCGTTAGCGGCGCATTTTTACACGAATGACCACACAGTTAAAGATTTTTCGATAAAGGGGCTGGAAAAGCTATACGGGAATGACCAATACAGAAAAACAATAGAAAATTTGTGGAAAAATAAATTAAGAACCTATAGACCGTATGGAGTTAATACAAAAGAATAACGCGGCAGACGGCAACCAACGCCACGGCGGGCGTCGTTCATTGACGTTACGTCACTTCCATTGTTTTGTTTGATATATTTGTATGTGAAATAAATGCTGCTGAAGAAGGCCGCAAGGCCGAAAGCTACGGCAAATTTAAATTAGCGTTTTTGTATATATATGCATATATACTTCATAATTGATTTAATTAGTCAAGAGTTGCTGTCACCTCTGACAACTCTTGTTTTATTTATATTGTCTGGTTCATTGAAGTATATTCCAGACCAGATCCAGTGCAATGTAAAGTAAAGTTTCCGATTTTTATTAGGAGACTATTTCAAATGTTAGAAATTTACAGCACAGTTACATGTATATTATTACAGGAAATAGACGAGGTTCGTCGTCTGTTCATGAACTTTATTTTGAAAATGGCTTGTAAAAACTATAGTTTTATCTCTCAGATAAAGGTGTCCAAAGTTTTGAAAAAAGTGTCTAGTTCCAAGATGAAATCATCAACAGCAGTCGACTTAAGGGTGAGCAAAGGGTAAGCATATTGTCCTTGAATTCTATATATTATGCATGATCTACTACAACATTGTTTTGTTTTTATTTCATACAATTAGTTTTCAGAAATATCTATTTCAATACATGAATATGCAAAATATTAAAACTGTATACTGGTATACTGTAGAGAATTCAGCAGCCGTGTATACAAAACTGCACGTTTGTAACGTTACTTTTCATTGGATAATCGTGACGTATTTAATATAGTTTCATATGCATGACTGCTGTCAACTTTCTAAGAAATCTCACGTTTTTCTCTGTAAAAAGGAAATTTGCTTTATTACAAATTCCTTATAGATTCTAAATATTCCTGAAAGGCTATATGATCGTTGCAAAATAATCCTCGTCTAGCGGTTCCAAAAAGCCGTTTATATAGGGCCATATAACATTTCAAAAATGTATGTATGTATGTGTGTATGTGCGTGCGTGCGTGCGAGCGTGTGTGTGTGTACCCCGGACATGATTGTCGCCATTCATGTCCATAAATGTTATTATCAACCAAAGGGTGACCTATAGGTTTTGAGTTCAATAATTCACTGAATGATACTAAATATGTATGCAAGTCGATTTTTACTTATGATATAAACGTCACGATTATCTAATGAAAAGCGACGTTTGCAGTACATGTATTAAAAACGGCCATATAACCTGTCAGGAAAATTTATAACTAGTTTATAATACAGCAAACTTCCTTTTAGTTTTCGTCAGACAGAGACGTTTATATAACTCATATACACGACTGCTCTCAATTTATGAAAATAATTTCTTTCTTTTTTTCTCAAATAAAGGTAGCTTGCTGTACATATTACAAAATTCGTTAAAAAGATTCTGGACAGTTTATATGATTATATGCTCGTATTAACCTGTCAAAATATTTACTACTTTATAGCTAATACTGTTAGTATGCTCAAATTTGATATCAAACATATTGATGATTACTACATAGTCTTTTTGTAAATATAAAATAAACATGTTTTGACTTAAACAAAGTAGATATGTTATGTTTAAAATCCTCCACACTTTCGGTATAGTGTCATTAAAAAACTGGCGATTTTTAAAGGAAAACAAATGGCTTTACTTGGCTGTAATAGGGAACGCAGTTTCCCGTACATACATGTAGTTTATTCATTCTTTTAATGAAATTAGACATGTTCTGTAAGAATTTCATAGATTTCAATAAATGTATGTGATTAAAATGAGCCGCATCACGACAAAACCAACATAGTGCGTTTGCGACTAGCATGGATCCAGACCAGTCTGCGCATCCGCATAGTCTGATCAGGATCCATGCTGTTCGCTTACAAACCCTATTACAAGTAGAGAAACTGATACCGAACAGCATGGATCCTGATCAGACTGCGCGGATGATCCATGCTGGTCGCAAACGCACTACGTTGGTTTTGTCGAGACGCGGCTCAAATATTTTACTCAAGGATGAGCATTGTATAAAACTGATGATTGTTTCATATTTTACTATTTCAGATATGGTATAACGGATACCGACCCTACTTACATCAAAGTAAGAAATAAACTATTTAATCGTGTCCAGGCCATTACGGGATTCTATTCCAAGTCTAACGAAGCTTTACAGGTATTCCAGACTTACAAGTAAACGAAATGAAACCAAACTTAAAATCGCCATTCAACAAACATTCACAGACACGACTTTTAATGAAAAATTCGGAACGCTGAACTGTGATATTACTTTCATTTATAATACATAATTTTGCTTGGGCCCGCCTTTTCTTCATACAAATAATAATGAAAAAATACCACTCCCCCCCTCCCCTCCACCCACCGTGCACAATTAACGGTATTCTCCGTTATTTTTGTTTCTCCTTATTTGAAATCAAAAGTGGATCATTTCAATATGTTTTAAAATTGAGAAAAATATGGCATATTTGTTTCATAATGACTTACATGGGGGTATTTTACTATTATGAGAACTTCGGCCTTGATCAATTCTAACCATATAATTACAGGTTGCCAATTATGGTATAGGAGGTTACTACAGCCCACACTACGACTGGTCTTTGGTAAGTTGTCCATTCTTATAATTTAGAAAAGTCTATATCTCTCTTCTGTGTGGAATATCTTTTCCGGAAATGAGCCGCGTCACGACAAAACCAACATAGTGGGTTTGCGACCAGCCTGCGCATCCGCGCAGTCTGATCAGGATCCATACGGTTCGCTTACCAACTCTATAACAAGTAGAAAAACTATAAGCGAACAGTTTGGATCCTGATCAGACTGCGCGCAGGCTGGTCTTGATCCAAGCTGGTCGGAAACATATTATGTTGGTTTTGTCGTGACGCGGCTCAAATATCTTTTTATCTCATTACCGAATATGTCAGAATTACAGGGAAGGTAAAGTGCACCGCAATTCTGAACACGATTGGATACATTGCTGCCATGCCATGTTCTGAAATAGAATTAAAACATGTATATCTACTACCAATTACTTTATTTCATGTATATAAACCACCCATTACTTTATAATATGTATACATGTATGTACTACCAATTTCTTCTAAACATGTATATGTACTACCAATATTAATGTCTTCAAAACATTTATATGTACTACCAATTACTTCATAACATGTATATGCACTACCAATTACTTTATAACCAATCTCCACACAGTGATCTCCCCTTAATTCTTCGGCGTAGATCTCTGCCACCAAGGTCCCAATATATCAGAATTTCTGATATACTATATTTTTTCAAAAATCGTTTTATCTACTGCTTTTATCTATCAGATAAGTTTTCTCTCATTTATTTAACAATGTTTATGAATAAATAAATAAAAAATATGAATATTTAGAAATAATTTTAAAAATTATGAGATTATCTTCTACCGAGACGATATTTTGATATTTTATATTTTTTAGCTTTTGAATTTATTTTTCGTTATTTTGTATACTTTCGATAATTTTTTGATAAACTATATCGAACGTAGGCACTAAAAGTTAAAAATAAAACAGAAAGAGAAAAATAATGTTAGATTCTTTGTAACGGTCGATATTTACATTTGAATTTCGACGTTACGTCATGTGACTTTCATCATCATGTGACGTCTTTGAAGGCAGTGATTACAATTCTGCCAAGGGAGGTAATCAGTGTGAGGAGTTTGCTTTATAACATGTATATGTACTTCCAATTACTTTATAACATGTAGATGTACTACCAGTTACTTCATAACATATATGTATATTTATACTTACTTCATAACATGTAATGTACTTCCAATTACTTTATAACATTAATTTGTCCCACCAATAACTTTATAACATGTATATGTACTACCAATTACTTCATAGCATGTATATGTACTATCAATTTCTTTATAAAATGTGTATATGCATTACCAATTACTTTATAACATTTATATGTACTATCAAAAACTTTATAACATGTATATGTACTACCAATTACTTCATAACATGTATATGTACTATCAATTACTTTATAAAATGTGTATATGCATTACCAATTACTTTATAACATGCATGTATAGATATAACCACTTACCCCGTAACATGCATATGTACTATCAATTACTCCATAACATGTATATGTACTTCTAATTACTTTCGAACATGTATATATACATCCAATTACTTTAAAACATGTGTATATGAACTACCAATTACTTTAAAACATTTGTATATGCACTACCAATTACTTTATAACATGTATTTTTATTACCAATTACTTTATAACATGTGTATAAATGCACTAGCAATTACTTTACTTATTGCAGATTTAGCACGTATGATAAGATGAAGACTGGATTTGGTTATTATGAATACTTGATACATGGATTTTAATACTCAAAGAAAATAAATATTTTAACCCTGTTTTCAGTTACATGCTGACCCTATGCATAATGACAGAATTGGCACGTTCTTATTTTATGTGAGTATACAGTTGAGTTCACATTAAACTTCCCACCCTTGTGCACTTCTAGTGCACTAGAGCTGAACTAGAAGTGCACACCGTGTGCACTTCTAGTGCACTAGACCATATGACCAGGCTGGCCAGGGAAGGTGACTGACACCTAAATGGTTTATTGGATAATTGTATATCAAGTGACAGGGGGCATCTATTGTTAAGCTGTTGTAAGAAAAAAAAACTTTGGAAATATATAGCCTATTTATGAATATAAATAAGTAAATTTCAACATTTTAGGTGATGTTAAAGCTTAAAATTAAAAAAAAAAATAATTATTGTAATCATATTTTTATTAACCAGTATTTAACTGTAAGTGTAAAATAATACCCCTTAAAATCAAATTTATAGAATTAATAAGGTTAAATTCAAATATTCTCCGTAATGGATAATTGTGTAAAAGTGTTTTTTAGTTAGACTTGAACGCACCCGCCCCCACTCTCTCACTCAAAATGAATAATTCTATTTATTTATTTTCACAAATGTGGCTAATGAAATATTAAGATTTTGTGTTTACATCGATACAATTAAAGTTAATGTGCGGTAAAGGAGAGTAGCAGTGAAGAAATCTCAACTTAAAATGTATTGCAATTTTATTGCTACGTACGAGTTTTATGGATGGGACACTCGTTCCAACCATTTTCAACAAAGTTGATATCAAAATCATGGAGATATTTATTCTTTCAAAGGCTTTAAGGCTATCAGAAATGATATTAAAGGTTACATTTGTAAGCACTATAAGTACTTTATTTTAGTTTGTTGATCACACAAACACACACAAAAAGTATCAAATTTTTAAGCTATTTTATGCGGTGTTTTATGCAAAGCTTTTATCACAAAAAAATGTATCAAGACACGCGATATCGTGTTTTTAGCGATATCGTGTTAATAGTGTAAAATGCAGAAAGTAAAAAAACTATTTTTTAATCAATCATTTGATTTCCGCGTCCGTTAACTTTCTATACACATGAATTTCTTCTTTTAGCTTAACGAAGTCGTGGCAGGGGGCGCAACAGTTTTCCCGCGCATAGGTGTCCGAGTTGCTCCTAAAAAGGTATCGAAAATTAGCTTAGCTTTTGTTATGTAAAAGTTAATGTTTTTAGTACATTTGTAATACATGATAATATTAAATTTGCAATTTAAATACAAAAATAAAACAGTTTTTTTATGACAAGGAATACAATGTAACAGCAAGGTCACGAAAAGATGGAAATATACTTAAATTATCCAGTTTCATGTTTTATAAGTATCCTTGGCATAAAATGTCGTAAATTTATCATAAACACGCTATATTATATATTCTAGGGTGATGCTGTCTTTTGGCATAACCTTCAAAGAAATGGAACAGGCAATGAGAAAACTTTTCACGCTGGTTGCCCCGTGTTGCTGGGAACCAAATGGATATCGAATCTCTGGATAAGAAGACATCATCAAGAATTTGTCCAACCTTGTACTCTTAATGAATATGAATGAACCAGTGACGTTAAGTTTCATTTTTGCAGAAATAACAAAATTTAAAGGGACTCCGCTGAGGCTTATTGACATAATGGAACTAGAAATAATTTTTCGAGATAAATGTTCCATTTGATGTAGGTCTAGACTACCTACTTGTGTGTGAAATTTCATCAGATCAGTTGCTTATTCCTTTTTTCCAGAACATGTATTCTAATTGTGAAAAATGATACAAAATTGAAAAGCGTTGCAATGCTTTACTAAGATAAGCACAATAATACGATTTTTCATTTTTTTTATTTTGACTTTCTGTTGCTTATCTTTCTGTTTTAATATTTGTCCCAGCTCATCTATACGGAATCTAAGTAAGAATTTCGAAATTTATTTTTTTATGCTTTTGGACCTCAGTGAAGTTCCTTTAATTGCTGTGTGGCATGTGTTATTTATGTAACTCTACCGTGCTACAGTCATGACAGTGGCACGTTTCGTTGTTTTATAACTCTAACTGTGCGGTTGGTTCCGCATTGTAATTCAGTTGTTATTTTGTATTTCTGCTTCTTCATGGAAATTTTCAGAATTATCATATTTATTAAACCAATTTAAGGAGTAAAATTTCTTGTGTAACTTTTAAATAACTCTAGATCGAGTGCTTGTAGTCAGGGGTTTGACAATTTGGGGAGACATTTTTTAGCAGTTTTCTTTTCTTTATAGCGCAGGAGTGTTTCTCCACTTTGTTTCTATATAAACCATTTAAATTATTTTTCTTAAATAGCTCAGCTTAACTATTTTTCGTCATCTTATCATTTTCATCTTCAAAACGGACATCATTTGTCAATTTAAGTACGTGTCTTTAATCTTCAGTTATGTGTTGTTTAAAGAAAATAATTAATTGTACGAGAAGGACCCGGAATAAACATGACTTAAAACTGTGTGTTGTTGCTTATGTTGTTTTAACTTGTAGCCCGATTATTTTGCACCAATTCTTGTGAATATTTATTTTTGTTGTACTAATATTATTGTTTTATGTATTGAATAGGTGCAATACAATTTTATGAAACTTCACCTTCTAGTCAAGACCACATTTCAATCTTATTCAATCATTGGCGATATTCTAAAACTTGTAATGCACCGCGGGGACCTTTGCATTATAAACCCCTAAAGGAACAGTCACATTGAATAATTCCCTCTGCAGACATGTCTCGCAAAAATTTAAGCACCCCGTCCTGCAGCCCCGTAACACTCCCATCCCCATTGTTCTGCAATGGAACACGGCTCATCCTCCGAACTGCCCCAGGAGTAGAGATCGGGGTTCGATTGATTTACCTTCTGCAAAAGATAAAGAGGTGAATATGAAGGGTCAGTATTTAAGAATACATTTGTGTTTTGTGAATTTGCTAGAAATTACCATAATCAACGTTTCCTGGTCTCTTGCATTTGTTGCGATAACAAAAAAAAAAGAATGTATATATGTCACGAAGAGTTGTCTTTCTTTGACGAAGAAAAAACAGAACCTTTGAGTCAATCTCAGCTGGGATGTGTTCCAGATCTCAGTCATACAGGAAATATCAGAAAAAATTCTTCTTTATAACTGCAAGACCTACAGATAAGATATTTGCGGTTATAATTTGGTGAGTACGTATAGCATTGTCCAGTGGATAAAAAAGTAAGAAAATCCTAATGCTTTTCGTTTATGAAATTTTGGATCCCCTCCATTGTATAGGTGACTTTAAAAGTTGCTGTGTATGTATTCTCAATTCTGGGTGGAAGGATTAAATACAAACAACGCGCTAGCAGACAAGCACTTTTGATAATTTTAGAGGTAAAAACAACAAATTGAAATTTTATGAAGCAACGAGATAATATTTTCTGGCAACATTAAATACTTTTTGTTTGTGTTGTTTAGTTGAAGACAGTATATTTATCAACTAGAACTTGGCACTTTGAATTCAGGATTTAGCCTAAAATGTGACTAATTTACTACAGAAGAAAGGCGAGAGTTAGTTTGGCCCACACCTCCATTGGAAGCTGGAGACAAATACCGGATACCGGATATAGCATATTAGCATCTATTTGACATATGGCGGGAAATGCAATTTTAATGGTAATGAACGGCGAAAATAAAATGTTGTAGTTGGAAGTTTTGTTTCATGTATGTTATATATTTGTGAAATATTTTAATATTATGAAGTATTAAGTATGTTTCTACATTTTTAATTCTTTTCAATACAGTACAGCTGCCATGTTACTCTTTTGAACAATTTGTAGTTGGTTTTCGCGAGTTAGAATTTTGGTGCTGTCGTTTTATCATTTTATTATTTGAAAGACCTTGTCGTTTTATGTTGACACATTACAGTTTTAATTGTACTTTCAGCATTTTGCACCTTTTTGCACCAAACTCCAATTTGTACTAAGATTGGCAGACAATCTTAAGTTAAAAAGTGCCTTATGGCTTACCTGATTTTAAAATCCATACCTCTTTTAGAATCATGTCTTCAAATGGAGAGAGAGAAATAGGTGACTTTGATACGGAAATAAATAAGTTAGAGAAAGAAATAGAAGATCTAGAGAAGAAAGTTGATGAACAAGAAAAGGAAAACAATCTTCTGAAAGCATGGCAGTATGTTCATTTATTTATTTATTTACCAGTGATTTTCCTGTTTTTATAACAGACTCTGATAAAAGGCCTCTTCCCATTTGAAATTTTTTCTTTAAAATCATGCAGTTTTCCCAAAAATCTTAACTTAAACCCGCTTTTTTACTTCCCAAATTTGCAATTTTAGTGATATTTTATCCCAAAATCAAGTGGCTAAGGCCTCTTCCATAAACACTGTTTACATATGTAGCTTCACAATTAATTTCTATTATATGTTTAAGAATATTTAATTCAAGGATTTAATATATTGTCACATAAGTGCATTAATCTCCCCAAGATATCTAATGTTCTAACCATTCATGTGACCAGATTTGGTTTGCATTGAACATCTTTAGAAGTTGAGAATATAATTATTTGTTATTCATTTCAGACAATGGTACCAAAGTAGTTTTGAAGCTTTACAACATGTTAGTTTATCATAAATATAATAAAATATATTGTTTGGTTTTATTAACCTGTCAATTACATACTGATTACACGGTCGATGCACACAGTATATTAATCTTCGGTAGATGTTCGGTAAGTTCCGTGAGATGTACGCTGTACGATAGAATTTAATTTAATTTGTATCACTAATCTAAGTGTACTCAGCGTTATAGCGCAATAGGGTAAATCACGAGTTTATAGTCTAAGTGCCACACGTGTTTTAAGTTCGAGGCCGCGTTGGTCCATGTTTTTTTTCTAATTAATACTTTCAACATTATTGAATCTATATATGATTATTTTATGATGTTCGTTTTTTTATTATGTTTACTAAATTTTGTTATGTATATACTCTTTTTAAATAACATGTTTTCTTAAGAATTCATGTTTAAAATTAAAATGGATTAAAAACAATAAATGTCTTTTCAATGCCGTAAAACACACTACAAATCTGTTCCATTAAAATATACTGCAAAAATAAAGAGTACTAAAACAATGGCAACAGTAAGGATCGAACCACAGACCTCTCAATTACCAGGCATTCTCTTTATCGACTGTGCTATTGTGAATTAACGAAAAACTTCACCTTAAGCTGGCGTGACTTTCAATCCATGACTAATATACTCCTCATTAATTCTCGTAAACTACACGGACCAAACCGAAGTGGGATCGAATATTTAAATGAGTCCTATAATGCATTCATAATTGACAGGTCAATAAAATCAGACTATACAATAAAATATTTTGCCCACTACAAACTCTGTAACTTAAACTGAAGAGTGCAGTTTTCGAATCCCTGTTTATATAGCACTGACATAATGTGTTCATTCATAAAGATAATTGAGTTGTTGATGCTGTTTTCAGGGAGTATCAGAACCAAGAAAAAGTTGAGGAAGATAATGATGATATTCTTAGAGCACGGGTACAGGGTCTTAGACACCAGGTATTTTGTCTTTTTTTTCTGAAACAGGTCTATGACTCCAATGTTATTTTTTATTACCCCCACTGATGACATTGAAAAGGCGATATAAAAATGGTGTCCATCTGTCCAAAGCCATATCTAAAGTATTGTTTAATTTTCCTTATTATTGGCAGAAATAATTATATGGATAAGGTGAGGAGGATCATCAAGTTTCATCAAAATCCACTAAGGGATTATTGAGTTATGTCCCTTTGTTATTTTTAAAGAAAATTGCCATATTGAGTCAAATTTTACAAATGGTTGATTACGTTGTAATAGAACTAGAACAAGAATGTATCCAAAAGTAAGGAAATGATGTTTATCAAATATTATCAAACATGCTTTTTAAAGTGTGGCTCTTTATTAATTAAGAGAAAGCATTGTTTATAGGAAAATTACCAATTTGAACCATATTTTAGAAGTGGCTAGTTGGATTGTAATGAAATTCAGCATGATTATATATTATAATACAGAGATGATATTGATTAAACACTAGCAAAATCTCTTATTATTGCATTTTGAGTGATTGTCCTTGGTAAATTTAAAATCTTTTGTTTTTAGCCAACCTTTACATGTGGTAGATTGGATTTTAATGAAATTCAGTTGCATGTATTTTAGTTTGCTATAAGTTAGTTGTTAACATGAATACATGTATATACCAGCACAATGTAGTAAAGTCTTGTTTCATTTAACTCTTCAGATTGATACATTGAAAGAGTTTAGGGGTGTGGCTATAACTGGTGTCTCAACTGAAATTATTGGTCAAGGTAAGACCAGGTATTCTCTTTGACATAGATAATCTTTCCTTACTGAAGAAAAAGCACTAATATCTTAATAGTGAATAGAAAACATCAAAATTTATGACCAATAAAACCTAATTGAAATTAAAGACTGTTTATTTTTGAAATGAAGTTTACTAAAACAAACTTGTACATTTATATTTTATTTGAAAGAAATTACTTTTTAATGATAGATATATTTTGATAAAGACCTAAAGTAACTAGAAATGTGTCATCATGCCACGGATGCCCCCGCATGCAGCCAAAATTTCAGGTGTTATAATATTTAGTTCCAAATTTATTTGCACAAATTATTGTTTTCATTTTAAGTTCAAAGCCCTTAAAACTTTTCAATGTTAACACAAACCATTTCCATACAATGTTCAAGGCACTGAAATTATTCAGTCTTAACCTTTTGAAAATAGCATATTTCATATTTGTAGCCAAAATAATGGCTACATATATTTCCACAAAAGTATGAGTGCTGAAACTGAAAGTTCAAAATTTTTCCAATATTCAAGAAAGATAAGTTTGTCGAAAATCATTGAACCACGACCAAATTCAAACTTAAACTGCTTATTCCTAAGATGTATCTATATTATTTTCAGTGAAAGGGACATAACTCTGCCAAAAAATCATCGAACCATGACCAAATTCCAACTTGACCTGCCCATTCCTTTTACATATTCATATGTCAAATTTGAGTTGAATATGTAACACTGTTGGGTAGATAATGAACAGAAACTGTAAATTTCATATTAATTTCAAAGTGAAAGGGGCATTACTCTGCCAAAAAATCATTGAACAATGAACAAATTAGAACTGGGCCTGGGCATTCTAAAAACATATCCATATGTCAAATTTGAGTTGAATGTGTTGTACTGTTGAGGATATAATAAACAGAAACTGAAAATTTCATATTATTTTCAAAGTAAAAGGAGCATAACTCTGCCAAAAATCATCAAACCATGACCAAATTCAAACTTAAACTGTATTTTCTCATGACATATCCATATGTCAAATTTGAGTTGAAAATGTTGTACCGTTGGGGAGATAATGAACGGAAACTGAAAATTTCATATTATTTTTAAGTAAAAGGGGCATTACTCTGCCAAAAATCATCGAACCATGACAAAATTCGAACTTGATTTGTATTTTCTCATGACATATCCATATGTCAAATTTGAGTTGAATGTGTTGTACTGTTGTGGAGATAATGAAAGGAAACTCAAAATTTCATATTATTTTCAAAGTAAAAGGGGCATAACTCTGCCAAAAATCATCGAACCATGACCAAATTCGAACTTGACCTGTATTTTCTCATGATATATCAATATGTCAAATTTGAGTTGAATATTTTGTACCGTTGGGGAGATAATGAACGGAAACTGAAAATTTCATATTATTTTCAAAGTAAAAGGGGCATAACTCTACCAAAAATCATCAAACCATGACCAAATTCGAACTTGACCTGTATTGTTTCATGACATATCCATGTGTCAAATTTGAGTTGAATGTGTTGTACGGTTGGGGAGATAATGAACGGAAACTGAAAATTTCATATTAATTTCAAAGTGAAAGGGGCATTACTCTGCCAAAAAATCATTGAACAATGAACAAATTAGAACTGGGCCTGGGCATTCTAAAAACATATCCATATGTCAAATTTGAGTTGAATGTGTTGTACTGTTGAGGATATAATAAACAGAAACTGAAAATTTCATATTATTTTCAAAGTAAAAGGAGCATAACTCTGCCAAAAATCATCAAACCATGACCAAATTCAAACTTAAACTGTATTTTCTCATGACATATCCATATGTCAAATTTGAGTTGAAAATGTTGTACCGTTGGGGAGATAATGAACGGAAACTGAAAATTTCATATTATTTTTAAGTAAAAGGGGCATTACTCTGCCAAAAATCATCGAACCATGACAAAATTCGAACTTGATTTGTATTTTCTCATGACATATCCATATGTCAAATTTGAGTTGAGTGTGTTGTACTGTTGTGGAGATAATGAAAGGAAACTCAAAATTTCATATTATTTTCAAAGTAAAAGGGGCATAACTCTGCCAAAAATCATCGAACCATGACCAAATTCGAACTTGACCTGTATTTTCTCATGATATATCAATATGTCAAATTTGAGTTGAATATTTTGTACCGTTGGGGAGATAATGAACGGAAACTGAAAATTTCATATTATTTTCAAAGTAAAAGGGGCATAACTCTACCAAAAATCATCAAACCATGACCAAATTCGAACTTGACCTGTATTGTTTCATGACATATCCATGTGTCAAATTTGAGTTGAATGTGTTGTACGGTTGGGGAGATAATGAACGGAAACTGAAAATTTCATATTATTTTCAAAGTAAAAGGGGCATAACTCTGCCAAAAATCATCGAACCATGACCAAATTCGAACTTGACCTGTATTTTCTCATGACATATCCATATGTCAAATTTGAGTTGAATATGTGCAACCGTTACTAAGATAATGAACGGAAACTGATGATGACGGAATGACAGAATGACGGAATGACGGAAGGACGGAATGACGGAAGGACGGAATGACGGAAGGACGGAACAGGGTAACACTATATGCCCCGGCCATTACATGGCGGGGGCATAAAAACTCAAATTATTGCAGTTTTTATATTGAATCAATGCAAGCGAGGTAACAGTAACAAACTTTCATGAGTTACTACTCTTGATTGGATACTTAATTCAAAGGGTGAACATATGATGATGAACAATCAGTTTGTTGTAAATTACTTTGTGATGCAGTAATAACTTGATATCATCACCTTAGTATATATCTGACATCACCTAAAGTGCAGTAACTTGTTAACTGCTATTGAATTTTAATAAGAGTTAACCTGTTTACTGGACTATGGTGACAATATTCTTAAGCAAATTATTGATACAGTCGGCATCGTACTTGCGTCCACCTTTATTAGGCGACTTTTTTATTAAGCGGCCGCATAAAATCCCTCCCGATGATTTTAACTATTTAATTTAATTCCATTAAACGACTATTTTATATCGCGGCCAGCGGCCACTAAATGTCGGCCCAAATGTACAAAATTAAGTGTTAAAGTATCTATTAAACGGCCGTGACAAACAATCGTCCCGGCGGGCATTCTCACCTGAATCCCGGACAATCCCCCTCCCGGACGATTCCCCTTCCATATTATTTTCACAACCCGGACATTTCCCCTCTCGTTATTTTAATAGGGCGGACTTTTCCCCTCCCGTTAATTTTACAGGGCGGACAATTCGCCTCCCGTTATTTTAGCAGAGTGGACAATTCCCCTCCCGTTTTTTTTCACAGAGCGGAACGTGACATTATACATCCCTTAATCATAGCCGCCTATGCGAATAAAAAAATCTATAAACATTCTTATTAAAGATGACAGTTTTTACTCTTAACAACAAACTGTTAAAGATCGGAACTTTTAAGAATCATTATTTCACAAAGGTGACATTATACCGCCTTTAATCATTGCCGCCGCTGCTTAAGATAAACAAACTGTCAATAAAAAATCTTTAATCAATGCTGCCCTTAATTAAATGTGTCCTTGATTGCAAAACCAATTATTTACAATTATTTTACCGCTGCAGAAATGTATTGACGAAATAAAGATTATTTTAACAAAAAAATGCGTTTTGTTTTGTTTATATTCATGTCAATATAGACAAGCAAAATGTATTTAAAGTCGATTAAAAATACCTTTCAAATAAACAATATTATAACATATATATGTTCAACAGCCACGGGAGGGAAATTGTCCGCTCTGACAACAGCGGGAGGGGAATTGTCCGCTCTGCTAAAATAACGGGAGGGGAATTGTCCGCCCTGTAAAATGAACGGGAGGGGAATTGTCCGCCGTAGAAAAATAACGGGAGGGGAAATGTCCGGGTTGTGAAAAAACATTCAAATTTACTGGGAGGGGAATCATCCGGGAGGGGAATTGTCCGGATACCTTCTCACCTGTGTAATTAGCGAGTAGGTTAGATGTGTACACGCAAACAAACAAATATTTTTCATGGTCATTGGTCACAAATAATTGCCGTTTAAAAACGAAATGAATAACAATTGCAATCGTTTCAAAATCGAATTTTCCGATCGTAATATTTATTGTGACATATTTTGTCAGAGCAATAACGTATCACAACACCGCATTTGCATAGTTTTGTCATGTGCTCAGAGTGACTTCCCTTATCTAAAATGACGTCGGATCGAGCAAAAAAAGACAGACAACTAAGACCGGATAAATTGTATGAGGAAATCGTGCATGGAATTGAGTCTGAGTAAATAGCAAATGTCATCGATTGTAGTCGAAATAAAATCGTGAAACGTAGTGGACTAAACATTACAGAACCGAGCCTTTCATTGCTGATGGTGTAGGTGCTCATCAGATGCTTTATAAAATACATGTAGTATCCCATTAAATATGACCCTTCGACAAAAAAACCTAGATATTGAATTTGAAATCGGGGTAGTGTGAAAACTAATTGTTGAAAAAATCAAGAAGTTTAAAACTCATCGCATAAAAAATTATCTGGAGCTCTGGGCTGATGATTCTAAAGTGTGTTCAGCAGGAGATGTGTTTGAACATATTAAAATATAAGACAATATGCTTTGTTTCATGGTCAAAATGACCTGTTGACAGTATTATGAGCGTAGATCACATTTGTACACAAATTTCTACTAAAAAACAAACAATATTGATGACTTTTTTTTTAAAAACAAAGGCATAAATGTAATTATAAAACTGTAATACATATATAATATTGTACATTATTTGTTTTTTATAAAAATGCTGTTATTATATCTATGACTTGTAATAAAAAGTCTCGAAGTTTCCAGAATTCTATTGAGAGACCACTTTATTAAGAGACCACTTTTTGGCAGTCCCTTGAGTGGTCTCTTAATACAATGTCGACTGTATCAGGAACATATTTTGAATGTCCCAGTAAATTTGCTATAAGAAGGGTTGACTCTATATTGTATTTTTTTTAGACATGTTATATTTGGAGAAAGAGAAACAGGTAGATGGTATGTGTGGAGAAGTGGAGTTTCAGCTCAAGATGGTAATACAGGAATCTATGGTAAGTTCTTTTTTTTGTGAGCAATGAATTAAACATTGAAGGACAAGGAAAACTAAGTGCTTTCAGGTAATATGAGATTTTATCTGCAGTAAATTTTCATGCAAAAGAAGTAAATTTCAATTTTTGAAATTACTCATCATTCCTTTGAAGGACAAGGAAAACTGTATGCTTAATACGAGATATGAAATGTACTTTACTTCAATCTACTTTTCATTGAAAAATAGCAAATTTTGAATTTCTTGAAAATCAGTAAGATTGACTTGCCATTCCTGCTAACAAATTTGACTGCTTGTAATTTTGAGAGTTTGTTGTGTCTGTGTTTTCCATTGAATGAATATTAAGTGGTAAAAAAAGTTGTATGATAAACATGGTGAATGTAGGAAACCTTTCCAAGTTTGATTTGAATCCTCCAAGAGGTGTTACCTTACCAAGTTAATCCTAAAATGTGCAAATATGACCATAACTTGTTTGAATAATTAAGAAATAGAAGTGCTAGCAAGTAAAAAGACTGTTAATATCTCAGATTAAAAGTTATGCTTTACAAATAAATGATAAATGAGCCACGTCATGACAAAACCAACATAATGGGTTTGCGACCAGCATGGATCCAGACCAGCCTGTGCATCTGCGCAGTCTGATCAGGATCCATGATGTTCGCTGTCAGTTTCTCTACTTGTTATAGGGTTTGTAAGCGAACAGCATGGATCCTGATCAGACTGCGTGGATGCGCAGGCTGGTCTGGATCCATGCTGGTCGCAAACCCATTATGTTGGTTTTGTCGTGACGCGACTCAAATGATTGTGAAATTACTATTTCTGTGTTTACAGGATCAAGATTCGACTGTCCATGCAAAGATAACACACCTCTCTATATCTGCATCTGAATGTGTATACAGGGACCTGAAACTCACTGTAGAACAGTTTGTATTCCTTATGTTTGATTTTCTTGTTTTATATAGTAGTGAGATCATGGTTAAGATTATTAAGTTTTTTTAAAATGTTTGTTCATGGATGGTGAAGGCAGCCATACAGGTGGGGGCATATTAAAGTCTATACTCGCTAAACTCAATAGGGAGAGCATCAGATTAGTAATGCAGGGGTAGCTGGTTCAATCCCGAGCAAGACATAATTTGAGCCGCGTCATGACAAAACCAACATAATGGGTTTGCGACCAGCATGGATCCAGACCAGCCTGCGCATCCGCGCAGTCAGATCAGGATCCATGCTGTTCGCTTACCAACTCTATTACAAGTGTAAAAACTGAATCCTGATCAGACTGCGCGGATGCGCAGGCTGGTCTGGATCCATGCTGGTCGCAAACGCATTACGTTGGTTTTGTCTTGACGCGGCTCATTTCTCAGATATAATTGATCTCATACACAAAGTCTAGTTGTCATCTGCCTCTGAAACAGTCAGTTGTGAAGAAATGGTAATTACTGGTTAGTTATCCAGGAGAGCCAGTTCGGTTAATTGACTGCCAAGGTATGACCTAAAACACATGTTAAGATTGACATAAAAAAAACAAGAAAAACAACAAACAGCAGGTACCTGGTCATGCCTCAAATAATGCATTGTGGAGCACTGGATGACATTCTCTAAGTGATGCTTGAAAGTTGCTGTGTAACCTTTAAGAACTTGATGTTACTTCAACCACAATTGAACATAAATATCCCGATTATATGCCCTAAAATTTCCAACATTGCAAGTATTGAAATATTTGTGCATAAAGACATTGAATAGAGTTTTACAATTCAGATATACTACTGTATAAATATGTCTGGTCTACCATGCACATACTTTCTTTTATTCTACAGGTTGGCAGAGGAAGGCAATGCACAAGGTTTTCTTACTCTGTTAAGACCTTACAACACATGGCTGAAGGCAAGGAAGAAAACTTTTGAACATTTTGTAAAAACTTATCCAAAAATTGCAAAATGCCCAAATATACAACAGTTGATTTTGAAACATCCTGTGAAGAAATTGTAAGTGATTTTGTTTGTGTATGAGATATATATTGTTTAATCTTTTGTCCTCACACTCAAGCTCTAGGTTTGAAGTACAAGGTAGATTATGAACAGCTTATATATTGTGTTTATAAATTATGTACCAAATTCAAGCCAGTAGTATAAAGCTATAGGTTTAAATAATTACAATGTAAATCTGTTTTAAATTAAATTATGTGAAATAGCCGAATTGTTCTTTCAGAATACAATAACTGCTAAGAGCATAGGGTGTGATACATTTAAAAACACTTTACTATCTTACATCAGTAACTTGTGAATTTTAAATGGCAATTATATATATATATATGATTGCATATAATAAGCATTTGCTAATGCAAATATGAGTTTTGTTTGAATTAATAAGTGTTACACAATATAATAGTTGTACATACATGTACAATCATTACTGTTTGCATTTTATACATAATGTGTTTTCTATGGTATGTGATATGTTTCAGTTCATTTGAGATAGTATGGGGATGTAGAGTTACAGACACGTACAATGTGTTACCGGAGATAGAGTTAAATGTTAATATTCCTAAAAAAGGTAGGTCACTGTCATCATTATACCCCCAAAAACGAAGTTTGGGGGGGTATATAGGAGTCACCCGGTGGTCGGTTGGTCGTCGGTCGGGCGGTCGGTCGGTCGGTCGGTCCAGACGTCCGTTGCATTTTCCTTGTCCGGAGCATAACTTGAAGACTAATGATTGGAATTCAATATAACTACACACAATGATCAAGCACAATGAGAGAAAGTGCAGTGCACAAGAACCATAACTCTATCTTGACTAATTACAGAGTTATTGCCCTTTGTTACTTTTCCTTGTCCGGGGCATAACTTAAAAACTACTGGTTGGAATTCAAAACAACTTCATACAATTGTCAAACACATTAAGGGGAAGTGCAGTGCACAAGAACCATAACTCTATCTGAATTAATTACAGAGTTATTGCCCTTGTTACTTTTCCATTGCTTTTCTTTTGTGCGGCCCATAACTTGAAGACTAATTGTTGGAATTCAATATAACTACATACAATGGTCAAGCACAATGAGAGGAAGTGCAGTGCACAAGAACCATAACTCTATCTTGACTAATTACAGAGTTATTGCCCTTGGTTTCTTTTCCTTGTCTGGGGCATAACTTGAAAACTACTAGATGGAATTCAAAAGAACTTCATACAATTGTCAAACACAATAAGGGGAAGTGCAGTGCACAAGAACCATAACTCTATCTAAAGTAATTACAGAGTTATTGCCCTTTGTTACTTTTCCATTGCTTTCTTTTGTGCGGACCATAACTTGAAGACTAATTGTTGGAATTCATTATAACTTAATATAATGGTCAAGCACATTTAGAGGAAGTGCAGTGCACAAGAACCATAACTCCATCTTGACTTATTACAGAGTTACTGCCCTTTGTTACTTTTCCTTTTTCAGAGTATGACTTGAAAACTACTGGTTGGAATTCAAAACAACTTCATACAATGATCAAACACAATAAGGGGAAGTGCAGTGCATAAGAACTATAACTCCATCTTGACTTATTACAGAGTTATTGCCCTTTCTTACTTTTCCATTGCCTTTTTTGTCCGGAGCATAACTTGAAGATTAATAGTTGGAATTCAATATAACTTCATACAATGGTCAAGCACATTGAGAGGAAGTGCAGTGCACAAGAACCATAACTCCATCTTGACTAATCACAGAGTTATTGCCCTTTGTTACTTTTCCTTGTCCAGAGCATAATTTGAAAACTACTGTTTGAAATTTAATACAACTTCATACAGTTGTCAATGACATTAAAAGGAAGTGCAGTGCACAAGGGCCATAACTCCATTTTGACAAAATACAGAGTTACTGCCCTTTGATACTTTTCCTTGTCCGGAGCATAACTTAAAACATACTGGTTGGAATTCAAAACAACTTCATACAATGGTCAAGCACAATAAGAGGAAGTGCAGTGCACAAGAACTATAACTCCATCTTCAGTATTTATAGAGTTATTGCCCTTTGTTTCTTTTCCTTGTCTTTCTGGACTTATTACAGAGTAATTCAATAAAACTTCATCAATGGCCAACCACATTGAAAGGAAATGCAACATACAAGAACCACAACTATCTTTAATTGCGCACAACCATAACTCTATATTTCAATTCTTTTACAAGGTATTCTGTTACTAGTAACAGCCTCATTTCTGAAGCAGTCTTGTGGGGGTATTAATCACATTTAGTGATAGTTCTAGTTTAAAATTTATAGACATTTCCTCAATAAGTACAGGCCTGCAGAACTAGCTCTTTAGGTTGAATATTGAAAGCATATCAGATTATTGAGTTAAGTCTTAGATGGTTTGCTGAGTGGTTAAGGTCATTGACTTCAAAGCACTTGCCCCTCACCACTGTGGGTTCGAATCTCGACAAGGACTTTGGATTCTTTCATGTGAGGAGGCTATCCAGCTAGCTTATGGAACGTCAATGGTTCTACTCAGGTGCCTGTTCATGCCTGAAATAATGCATGGAAGGGCATTTGAGGTCTTCTTTCACCAGTAAAGCTGGAAAGTCGCCATATGACCTATGAAAGAGGGACATAAATCTCAACCCAAATATATAAGTCTTAGGTGTAGCACAGGTTACTCTTTGACGATTTGGTTTATAGAAGATAATTATGTTTAATGCTATTTGTCTTCTGCCACAGTTTACCTATCAATTTATGACAGAAAATATTTTATCATATTCAGTGTAAAAAAATCATCAAAGTATGCTTGGTTGGCTTTTAAAGTTTAAAAATTGCACACAGGCACTGCAACGGTATTTTTCTTATCCTGCCACGCTATGTGAAAGTTAACATTTTTTTTGCTCAGCAGCTGGGTTTTAATATTTTTAACTACACAAAACATATCCAATAGATGCTACTGTACATGCATGTACCGACAAATAACGTAGTGGCTTGAATTATGATTTCAGACTAATGTTTTGTTTTATTTTGCAGTGGAGAACCCAAACAGTGAATTTCTTGGAACAGTTTCTGACAAATTTCAATTGATGCTACAAGAACTTGGAATAGAAAAGACATTGAACACCCTTGTCGCTTTACTACAAAAATAAAAATGTTGTTTTCCATTACTTTACATGTATATGTCAAATAGCAGAGTACTTCACAATATGGGAATGTATTTTTGTTTATTGGTTATATCGTAATTTGTTACATATTTAAAACAACAATTTTCTTTTGTACGCACCATAGATTTTGACAAATGATTGTTTTATTTCAAGTTAGATAACTCTCTAGTTGTACCTAATTACTGTGAAATCTGAAACAATTGTAGTAAAAATTCATGGTATGATTTCTTTGAAACATAATAAAGGCAAAAAGGGAATTGCAAACTGTATTTTTTGTTGGTCAAAATTTATTACTTTTTGTTTGTTATACATGTATAACTTTACTGATTCTTAGTTTTTGATGAAAATGTTTACTTAAGATTTTTTGTAAAATGCAGAATATTTTAAAAATAAAAGATTTTAAAATGAAACAATGTTGTGCCTCTTTTTAAACCTATACATGCCTGCCTTTATTTTGAAACTGTCAATTGTTAAAGGCATTTTAATTCTAAAATAGAAAATGAAGAAAAAAAATGAGAATGCAACAGTATTGAATATGGTTACACAGCAAAGTTAATTCTTCTGAAGGCAACTTTTCTCAAACACTTAATGTGTCATTTCATGTATTGTGTAATAGACATTGGAATATATCAAAATGTCAGAAAATTTTACATGTCCAACCTTCAACATTTTATTTATCAAAAAACACTGAATACATATTTGTGGGCATTATTTTCTTGAAGTCAAACTTTGTAATTAATAACTAGAACTCTGCGAGTCGGATGTGTCACCTTGTGAACAATAAAGTTTAGGAGAAATGGCCAGAACAAAAATGAAATATGAAAATTAACAAAGGGCAATAACTCAAAAATAAGAAGTGAAGAGCAGCAGTTTCTGTGAACTGCACTTCTTATCAATAAGATCTATCATCTTATGAAGTTTCATTCCATAGCTTTTATAATTTATGAGAAATGGCCTGGACAAAAATAAAGTATGAACATTAAAAAAGTGTAATAACTCAAAAATAAGAAGTGCAGAGTACCAGTTCTTGTACACTGCACTTTTTCTTAGTGAGATCTATCATCCTATGAAGTTTAAAGACCATAGTTTTTATACTTTAGAAGAAATGGCCTGGACAAAAATAAAGTATGAAAATTAACAAAGGGCAATAACTCAAAATATATGAAATGCAGAGTACCGGTTCTTTGCACTGCAATTCTTAATGAGATCTTTCATCCTATGAAGTTTCATGTCCATAGCTTTAATACTTCAGAAGAAATGGCCCGGACAAAAATAAATATAACAAAGGGCAATAACTCAAAAATTAAGAAGTGCAGAGTATTGGTTCTTGTGCACTGCACTTCAGGTCATTATAAGAAGCATGCATACCAAGTTTGAAGTCAATCAGACTTATAATGACTGACTTATGCTCCGGACAAGCTTAAGGGGACGCCGACAACGCCGCCACCGACAAAAAGTAACCCCTATATGTCGCCTTTTTCAAGGCGACACAAAAATGATAAAATTCTATCATAAGAAATTTTGTATAGTTTAAATAGTAGTATCAGCTGTCTATAAAACATGACTTCTGCATAGCAAATTTTTTATCAATGAGAACATGGCAGTTTACAAAATAAACAAATTTAGTAGTGTATTTCTGTTATGAATCTCCATCTGTCCACATTATGTCTGGTCCATGATAATTATTTATAAATGGATTTTGAAAAAAAAATGCATGTGTGACAAATTGAGTTGTTTGTTTGACTTAGTTTTACACTGACACAGTATAGGTCATATGGTGCATTCCAGCTTTACTGGTGGAGGAAGACCTTGGGTGCCCTTCCGTGCATTATTTCAGGCATATAAGTAGAACAACTCGGCCCAGATGCTCAAACGCATTTATATTACTGTATTGCAAGACCCAGGCTTGTACAAAGGTACAGTCTCTACATATTGATGGAAAAGTATTGAAGTGACAGTTGTGGCACTGATGGAATTAACTGAAAATCTTTTAAGGGCACTGTAGTGACAAACTGTTGAGATGGAAAATCTACAGACTTATCCTTGAAACATGATGGTTGTTCATCTATTACAGGTTACAACATGAAGCACTGACAGAAATAGAAAATGAATATTCAAAGATTTGTTGTGTTGTGAAAGAATTGGATAAATCAACTATAAAATGTCCTCATTTAAAATTTCTTATTGTTTACTTGATTTTTTAAAGCTACTATCCCACACATTTTGGTTGGGATTTTTTTTTAAAAGTTCACCAAAGGCTCATACATTTATATTAACTAGATGATTAATACATGTCTTGTCCAATGAAAAATCATCTTAGTTAGGTATTTGCAATGCTTACCCTGCTGTACTTTTAAACTGTTGCAATGTTTTATTTTGTAGATATTGACTTAATTATAAACACACCCCCTAACTGGTTGCAAATAGATCAGTTGGTTACAGGTAGAACAATTGTGTGCTAGGTAAGTTTTTTTTATCATGCAATCGATTGCTGCACAATATATCAGGGAAAAATATGTCTATAAAAAGAAACCAAAACAAGAGCTGTCACTGAAAAGTGCCTAATCCCCACAAAAGGAAGCTTTGACATAAAATTTGCAATATATGCCAAAATACCTTTAATATATGCCCGACCGCCTTTGATAAAAATCATTCCTAAAATTTCATTGAAATTCCATTAGAAATGTAGGGGAAATAGTCTAAACAAATTTTATTTAAAAAATTCATCGAGGGCCCATAACTGCAGAAAAAATTCATGCATAAAATCATGGCACAATGCACAACTATGCTTGGAAAATCATGACACCATGCAAACAATTTATGAATATTTACTGAAATTTTGTTTAGGAGATGAAGGATGGACAAAGTTAATTTACTGAAAAATCAAGATACATTTACTATGCACAACCACGCTTGAGGACAAATAATCATGTTAAAGTTTCACTGAAGTCCCCCCTTCCCCTTTGGTTTTGGTGAAGAAGCACAGTCGAGCTAATATTACTCAAAAATTGACCACTATGGGGCCATAATTGTGCCAAATAAATTTTCAAATCAAGATACAGAAAACGTCACTGATAGCGAACATGGTTATAGCGAACTTCTAAGGAACAATATATTTTGGCCCGAATTTTGCCCTTCTTTATTTAATATAGAAATATTCTGTTATAGCGAACACGGTTATAAGGAAATTATTATCGCTTATAAGGAACTAATTTTTTAGTCCCAATTTAGTTAAAAGTACAGAAAATTACACTTTTATAACAAACTTCAAACAATAACTTATAACAAACAATCCTGTGAAGTTTCACTGACATCCCCTTAGTGGTTTTGGAGATGAAGGGCAAACAGGCTTATTTTACTCAAAAATTGACCCTAAATGGGCCATATTAAAATAAACTGTGCCAAAAAAATTCAAGCTGTAAAATATACTGTGCAAAACTAGGCATGGTGACAATCCTGTAAAGTTTAACCGAATTAGCCCCAGCGGTTTTGTAGATGAAGTGCAGACAAGATTATCGGACAGACAGTGCGATCACTATATGCTGCCCTTCAGTAATCCAGTTAAAAACTAATATTAATACAGTTACATGTAGTTCTACCTGCATCAAGCTGTCCAAATCTATACATGTTAATAGGGGTGCTTATATCTGTGTCTAGTGAAACATAACTCTTCGTTCACAGTTATCTTGTAGAAAATGCAAATTTTTACCTCTCAAGAATTGTAAACAAATACAGTCATGTATGTTTTAAGTTAAAGGTCATGATTTTTATGCTTCTCCAACTTGATTTGTGGGAAGAAGACTTCTATTGCCTCATATTAAGCATGAATATGTTAATCACCTAAGTTGCATTCCTGTCAATTTTTAGTCAAAATCTACCAATAAGTATGGGAGCTTTTTACAGAAATCGTTACTTGATAAAATTCAATACGTCGAGGTAATTAAAAACTAGAAATGTGTCATCATGCCACGGATGCCCCCGCATGCAGCCAAAATTTCAGATGTTATAATATTTAGTTCCTAATTTGTTTGCACAAATTATTTTTTTCATTTTAATTTCAAAGCCCTTAAAACTTTTCAATGTTAACACAAACCATTTTCATACAATGTTGAAGGCACTGAAATTATTCAGTCTAAACCTTTTGAAAATAGCATATTTCATATTTGTAGTCAAAATAATGGCTACATACATTTCAGTGCTGAAACTGAAAGTTCAAAATTTTTCCAACATTCAAGAAAGATAAGTTTGTCCAAAATCATTGAACCACGACCAAATTCAAACTTAAACTGCTTATTCCTAAGATGTATCTATATTATTTTCAAAGTGAAAGGGACATAACTCTGCCAAAAAATCATCGAACCATGACCAAATTCAAACTTGACCTGCCCATTCCTTTGACATATCCATATGTCAAATTTGAGTTGTTGGGTAGATAATGAACAGAAACTGTAAATTTCATATTATTTTCAAAGTGAAAGGGGCATTACTCTGCCAAAAATCATTATACCATGACCAAATTCCAACTTTGCCTGGGCATTCCAAAAACATATCCATATGTCAAATTTGAGTTGAATGTGTTGTACCGTTGGGGAGATAATAAACAGAAACTGAAAATTTCATATTATTTTCAAAGTGAAAGGGGCATAACCCTGCCAAAAATCATTGAACCATGACCAACTTTGAACATGACCTGCGCATTCCTGTGACGTATCCATATGTCAAGTTTGAGTTTAATGTGTTGTACCATTGGGGAGATAATGATCGGAAACTGAAAATTTCATATTATTTTCAAAGTGAAAGGGGCATAACTCTGCCAAAAATCATTGAACCATGACCAAATTCGAACTTGACCTGTATTTTCTCACGACATATCCATATGTCAAATTTGAGTTGAATGTGTTGTACCGTTGGGAGATAATGAACGGAAACTGAAAATTTCATATTATTTTCAAAGTAAAAGGGGCAAAACTCTGCCAAAATCATCAAACCATGACCAAATTGGAACTTGACCTGTATTTTCTCATGACATATCCATATGTCAAGTTTGAGTTGAGTGTGTTGTACCATTGGGGAGATAATGAACGGAAACTGAAAATTTCATATTATTTTCAAAGTAAAAGGGGCATAACTCTGCCAAAAATCATCGAACCATGACCAAATTCGAACTTGACCTGTATTTTCTCATGACATATCCATATGTCAAGTTTGAGTTGAGTGTGTTGTACCATTGGGGAGATAATGAATGGAAACTGAAAATTTCATATTATTTTAAAGTAAAAGGGGCATAACTCTGCCAAAAATCATCGAACCATGACCAAATTCGAACTTGACCTGTATTTTCTCATGACATATCCATATGTCAAATTTGAGTTGAATGTGTGCAACCGTTACTAAGATAATGAACGGAAACTGATGATGACGGAATGACAGAATGACGGAAGGACGGAACAGGGTAACACTATATGCCCCGGCCATTACATGGCGGGGCATAAAAAGGTGAAAATAATTTTTGAATTCCATTGATAAAACAATTAGGTAGTACTGTACAGAGCAATTGCAAGAGGAAAATATTAAAACATAATTAATGTACTTTTATCAATTTTAATCAACAAATGTATCGTACAGATTTAAATCATATCTGTAATAAAATATCCACATAAAAAGCACATAAAAACTTCCATAGAAATCATATTTACTTGTATAATTTAGTTAATAAAGAACTTGCATTTCACAAATGATGTCAAGAAATTTTGTCTTTATGCATTATGTATCAAAGTATAATCTGTCAACATCTCCTAAGTCAAACTATTGACATTATAATCGAAACATATATAACAAAATTTAATTATATGAATTTATTTAGGCGGCTGCCATGCTTGTATTTTGGGTTTAGCTGTGCTGTATGGAACATATTCGCCAGACGTCCCTGATAGATTCTCCTCGTGTTTTCCTAGCCATTTATGCTGGATTGCGGGCTTTTCTACAGGACTTTCCTCCCTTGAATACTGCAACCAAGAACGCCTGAAAAAGAGAACAATACAGTGCAAAGCTAACTCAATCAATTAACCTTGATTAAGTGAATAGCATGGTGTGTTCCTTATTTAAATGGTTAAACACTAGAAGACTAAGAAGAGATGCAGAGATTTTTCTGTGATGAAAATACCTTTCATTCTGATCTATGTTAATCATGTGGAGAAGCATTATCTGAGTTACTGCCCCTGAACTGATCAACTATCACACTAAGTAGGCACATTGTCTGTTGAAAGAAATATATTAGGTGTAATCTAATATATAAAAGCAAGTAAACAGAAAACTTAAAGACTGAGATAAAGAAATTAAAACAATTTATTATGTAGATTTAGACAAGGTGTGATTTCAGTCCAGTTACATTTGGTGTTAGTTGACTCAATTTTCCAATAAAGGAATATAGATACTGTGAAAATGACTTCTAAATATGTGAAAAATTAATTTTGTGACGGAAGGTTGATGTCCATGCTGCAATCCCCAAAGCATAAGCAATCTTCTAACAATTATGTTTATCATTTTTCAAATTTAAAATTCATATAAAGTTATAAACATCAGATAAATGCACAATGTGACTTAGCAAACCTTTTCTCCATAGATACCTGTTTAAATGCTTATGCCACCAGTGCAGATCCAGAATATGAATATAAAAGCAAAAAGTGGAGATCCTGATCAGACAGCACAAATGGGTTGAGAAATAATGTTAAAACCTTTAGTGACTTTGGGAGTAAAATGAATATACTAGTGTATAGAACCAGCAGAAATGATAAGTAAATAGTTATCTGAGGAATTCTAGCATGAAAACTATGCAAATAATTCTTAGAAACTGTTGTCACATAACCACTGCCTGTATAAAATCCTACGAAAATTGCATCAAATAAAAAGTTTGTTCGCATGTCTCCTGTTTGTTGATTAACTCAAAATGGTGCACTTCAAGACTTCAAAATTGAAAAAGAAGCCCTACATACCATTCTGGAGGGATCTGACTGGCATCATAATCAAAGCCTACTGCATCTGTGAACTCTATCCACCTACTACGACCTGGACAAAATTACAAAAGGTATTCTTGATTTAATAATAATCATAATTATTTTTATATATCACATGTAAACAAAATATGAATATCAAGTACAGCAAGACAAAGCAATATTATAATAATTTTCAAAGTAATTTTAAAATTTACCGTAAATGTGAGAAAGTAAAGCTTCTAAAATAGGAAATTAATAAAACTACTGCAAAATACCAAAGCAATTTTCAGCATTTGATGATACCTTTAGTCTTTGAAAATTTTAAATAGTAAACAAAAACCTTTTGATTTATTTTAAAGCTTGCTACAGCAACAAAGCTCAATTCTACATGTAGATAAATGAACAAAAAAATCAAGATCATAACTATCATACATTTCAGTACATCTGTAAGTTATATCTTACCTATAAAGTATGCTTTGTTTTCATAATATCTATTACCAAATTCATCTGTGCCCTTTAATGTTCCAATCTTAAATGCATCTGTTCTGAAAATACAAAACAAACAAACTAGTAACATGAAATTGTCACAAATATCTGGAAAAGTGATCCCTCGGAAGCATTAAAAACAGCATAATTACATGAAAATTGCAGCCATGTTTTCAAAGAAATCAGTACATGTATGCATAATTCACAATATATCAAGACGATGGCTTTGTTAGTATTGAATTAAATAAACTTATAAACAAAAACTAAACCAGTCTGCAACATTATTTTTTTAGAGCAAAGGCCATTTGGGCCTTCAACCTAGGCAAATGTATAGGCCCGGACAGATTATGATAATCTCACAGGCCCACAACATTATTGTTCAAAATAAAGACAATGGTTTATATTATCACTGTTTTATTCACATCAACAAGATTAAATTAAGGCACAAAGGCACGGAAAATCAGTCAGCCACTTTTGAGCAATCTCCTGGATTAAAACCCTATGTCACTGAGTATATCCAGTAACGCAGGAGAGTGAAAATAACGTAGGCTTTGTGCAATAAGTAACGTAGAATTGTGCCATATTTGGCGGATACCTGACAGGATTTCCAACACGGTAAGTAAACTGGCCATTATATTTTTTATTTAACCAAACTGAAAAAAACGGAATAGATGCATATATACCGCTGCAAAGACCTGATTCTTTATCCCTCATCAAGATTATTTCCACGAAATTGCTTACTTTTCAAGATCATTCCTGAAAATGATGGCTTGACCACTGTTTTGAGCGTGCTTTTGACTTTTTGTCTACTCTTTAAAAATTTAAATACCGAATACCATTTGTTTTTCATCTGACTTCTGCGTACATAGGCTTTGCCTAATTTAATATTATTACTCTTCTATATACACCTTCATGAAGGTTACCATTTTTGCACTAACAAAGTTTGCACTCTTACCCTATGCTACGACCGGATGTAAACAAAACGTTCGCACAGGGCATGCGCGGTGGTTAAATCCCACCCATTTTATTCGATTAAATTCTAGAACAACCACTACTTTCGGTTTCAATTTTGCTGACAACTTCACAAGGAACAGTTTGAATCAACGTAAGCGTTAATTTTAATTGCAATGTCCAAAACTTTGCACTACACGGCGTAATTTTCATTACATATCCGGTATTATCACCGTCATAGTAGTTTTTGTTCCAGTCGGTCAAAATGACGGTATACATTTACATGTAAACAAACAGATTTAACTTCTTAGACAATTTAAATAAGGAATGGACACACGGTAAACTCTGTTGCAACGTAAAGAATATTCATAAACCTGTTTGAGAAAAATTGTCTCCATGTTCAAATAAATTTCAAAAACGGGAAAAAAAGCAGTCTTTTACCGATACCCTGCAACAGAATCTTATTATTCTGACGAATTAAATTGACTTTATAACGCTCGTATACAATTATTGATTGATCGATTTTCATTATATTTATTTTGTAATACCTATCATTCAGTATGCAATCAAACAAAACCAAGTTTTCCTACATTCAAGGAAACTGTAAGTTAGGACGAGCTTTCAAAACGAACAGGTAGCAATTTCCAACACGCTTACCGAAACTCCAACATGGCGGCTCAACGTGGCTCATTTGCATAATTTATTCATAAACGCAGGAGCATAGAACTTTGTTAGTGTTTTGGTGAATAGTTGATTTGTACTTTTCATTATTTTACAAATATATGTTTTAAGTTTATTTACATCATTATAGCTCTCCATAATTTTACATCTACATGATACTGCTTAGCGAGCAATTGTGTGGCAGGCAAATAGATCTAGACCTATTACATTTATTTTACTTTAACATACTCCTCCTTCTGAGCATTTAAGCCAAGATGGCTTGTAAGCTCCTCCTATACAGTATTATCAAAGATAACTTCAGTAAATGTCACTTGTATTAAATCTTTTTCTTTGCCAGCTTCGGTCGAGTAAAGTTTTAAATGTCAAAACACTTTCACTGAGATTGAGAACAATGTTTTCATCTAAATTATTCCACTGGTCAATGCATCTAATTGGCTGTCTTATTAAATTCATTATTCAATAGAAAAATGAGTAGTTGATTTATAGATAGAGAATCATAAGGGGAAAGGCTGGCTTAAAGTAGGTTCAAATGAATTTATTTTTGTCATAAATTTTTATTTCACCTCGCGAAATAGCATGACAAAGTACTAAAGGCCTCATTTCTATGAAAGTGCATTACGGAATAATATAATAAAAGTTGATAACTATAAAACCATGAACTCACTTAAGGATTGTGAAGAAAGACCCCCTTAACCCTCCATGGAATTGATAAACTTTGTAAAGTTCTTTCAATTTTTGTAAATAAATATTCGACATTTTGACAGGGAAGTCCCGCACTTCAAGGACAAGAATTAGATATTCATCCTAAAAAAATAATAATGATGGTCAATAAATTAAGTAATAAAACCAAAGGTTGAGTAAAAATTATTAACCATTGTTGCTCTTTAAAATATTTCTTATTCCTTTTTTATTACAGCTCCGCACATTTAAACATGGCGCTCTCCTTTCGACCTGGTGGGTACGAAGATGATGATGATGATTTTGATGGCGACGGCTTCTATCTAGGTGGGAGTACAGATGGAGAAAATTTTAAGCCAAAACCATTTGATCCGGTTGCAGTAAGTTGAAAGCATGTCATTGTCATGTTAGATATTTTCAAGCATTTTCTTGAAATAAGTATGTTGTTTCGTACCACATAATGTTCGAACTCATGCGTTTTGAAATAATATGAAAAAGGCAAAGCCTCAAAGCGAGCTCGTTGTACTTTTAACGTGAAATAGTATGAAATAATCTCAAATGCAGTGATGAGTGCGTGTGACGTCACACGTAATGTGTTAAATATACCGCCCCTGTCGTTAAATGAATTATACTCTAACTCTATATTATCGGCGCAACTCTATTACCGACGTAATCTCAGTATTTTGTTATGTGCAGTTATGCATACATTGAAGTTAAAAATCTTTGACCTCATACAATTAAAAATGTAATGATTAGTTGAATTTGTACTGCTTTACACAGAATATTGATTAATATGAAATTAGGCAAAGCCTTAGCCTAATTAATTTGGCGTGAACGGTTTGACCCATTTTACAGACTTTTTTTTTCTTACTGTCAAACCGTTACGCCTAATTTTAACTGTCATTTTTACGCACGGAAAATCTACCGGCAACACTATCGATAGTTTGGACTGATTTTTACTGCTTAAACCTGAAAGTAACTTCAATTACCTCTAAAGATCAATAGAATATAAATTTTATTACTAACTTCTCCTAGAAAAAATATAAGATTGTACCTGTCTTAACGCATACATGCGATTCATTTCAAATTTGTACTGTCTACTCTATCTTCGGCGGACATGTTATGACGTCATCGTAAAAAATCGATTCCGTGAAAGCTGGTAGTAGCTACCAGTGTGTCTAGCAGGTAAGTGTGGGTTACGCATGAAGATTAAATTAAACAAAATATCGGGGGAAATAAATCTATTCATTATTTTTTAATAAATGTGTGCATTATTAAATACTATTGAAAAGTATCATTGTATTTAACCTAAAATGCAATGGTCGCAAATAGGCTCCATACAAGTACTGTTGTTTAATATGTTTTAAATATTTTAATACATGTACTCAACATTTATCAATTGGTGGTTTGCCTTCTTGTGTACTGCTAATGACTGCCAAATGTCACTCTCGGATAAAATACTGACTTCATTTATACATGCATATTTATATGACAATTAAGAACGTAAAAGAGATATTGAAGGAAACTATTTGAAATACACTTCAAATTATTCAGTATTTGTACAAATAATATTTCAAGAGCTCTTTTTCACCGATTGCCGATATATAATACCATTTTAAACCTACTGATAAAGTTAAATGTCTTCTTGACAAACTTTATTGATTTACTGAAAAGGAACTTTATTGTGATCCAGCCATATGCTGTGTAACTATACGGGAAGGGTCACATATTTTAATTGAAATAAATTTTTTAAGTAGAGGATATTAAAATAAGCCATTGAGAAGATCAGAATTTTCAAATGAACAGATTAAGAGACTTATACATGTATAAGGTGTATGTCTTGTTGTTTCATACTGTTTTGGTGACACTTTTGTTTGTGTCCCTTGTTGTTTTCTCGTCTATGGTAAGTATCTTTCCTTTGCCCCTAGTTTTATTTCTTTATTTCGCCCCCTCCCCCGAATTTCCTATCCCCTTCCCCTGTGCCCGTTAACTTAGCGGTCCTGTTTCATACTGTTTTGGTGACACTTTTGTTTGTGTCCCTTGTTGTTTTTTCGTCTTTGGTAAGTATCTTCCCTTTGCCCCTAGTTTTATTTCTTTATTTCGCCCCCTCCCCGAATTTCCTATCCCTTTCCCCTGTGCTCGTTAACTTAGTGGTCCTATTAATCATTCATTTATTTATTTTCTTTGATTTCCTTCTCAGTTACATTTTAGTGATAAGCCTGACCGTGCTCTCCCTTGCGCCCTGTCCCGTTTTAATTTAGGATCCTCCTGGGCTCCTTGCCAATGGTTCATGTTCCTGGGTCGTGTGGGGGTTGCGTTCATTGAACGCCGCCTTTCCTTGTTCATCTTGTTTATCATATTGTATACATGTATACCGAACCGTAACAAACAGATAATGATTACAATACAAGGTTCGGCAAGCAAGCAAAGAAATGTAAAGAAACAGAAAAAACTTATCCACATTCATGTATCCACCCTCCAAAAACGCCTGAAACTGCAAAATCGAAACATAAATACACAGGAGTGCCAAAGACGGCTCTGGTAGGTGCAAGTGCTCCCTTTCGCCGGTTTAAACAGAATTGATCATTTAAACATAATAATGTTGAAATTTTTAATCAACATCCACAGATGTGTACATAATACGGCGGTAATCATGGAACTTTCAATGTGACACATTCGAGGTGCCGTTCAACGGGAACTAGATAACATGGAATTTTTAATGGGTATCAGAGGTTTTGGTGCCTTTTGCGACAGTCGTTCCAACATTTCTCCCATCTGTCTTACATTGTTATGCTATTCAACATCTAAATAACGGTCACTAAATTTCCGCTTGCTGCGTTTTTATCATAAACCCCGTCAAATCTGTGCGACAATTGTATTTTACTGAGGACTGTCTGAAATTCCATTTTATAGTTTGAAATTTTAAGATTTTTTTTTCAGAGTTTTAAAGTTATTTTTGGTTGTTTTGAACTTCTTCCCATACACAACCGTCCTCAATTTCTTTTAAAGATAATAAACTAGAAATTGATATGGAGTGTAATATAAATTGAAATTCTTCTTTGCTTCATCATGTATATTATAATTATAATTCATTAAGATGTACCTACAATGAATTACATTGTATTTTCGTATGTGGGAAATCATGGCAGGGTTATAAAATGAAAAGGTAGTTCAGAAATTTCACCTAATGATCACAGATGTTAAAAAATCCAACTTAATAATATCTAATTTGACAATTTAAACGGACTTAAATGCAGTATGATCTGACATCGGACATCATAGACTATTTAATTTCTAAGTAAGGTTATCATAATTTCCATTACACATTCTCTTTTTAATGCTGAAATATTTGTGTGTGAATAAAAGAGTTATTCCTGCAATAATTCATATAAATAACATAAACAAATTGTATAATAAAGCTTGGCAAATACAATCGATTGCCGCCGATACCTGTGTTACACCATGGATTTTACCAGTGTTTACAATTTTACCATGACACCGCTTTCCAATATGGCCGCTTTCAATAATTTTCAACGATTAAAAAAATTAAAGTGGAATATTTAGACTTCTGTTCGACTTTGAAGTATGATAATTTGGAACCTTGCATAAAAAACGATTCTCTTTCAGGTAATGTAGACCGTTTCTTTGAAACTTTTCTAGTTTTCGCTCCCAACAACTTCTAATTGGGAAGCGTCCGTGCATAAAAATGCAGTTCGTGGTTGGACTTGGAAAAGGACAGCGCCCGTCCAAAATTATCTCGGTGTCTCTTTGACAAGTCTAATTAGTTGGACTAGCAAAGCCTATGAACGGGGAAGTCTTTAAAAAAATCCTTTCATTCTTTCCGTTTTAAAGGTGTCATTCGATATTACATACACCGCTTCGTTTTCACTCGGAACACTCGACGATTATTACTAATCCGAAAAGTTGAGATTTGTTCCGTTATCGGAATACCCCGCCTATTATCATTGACATACATTGTAAATGGCGGCGCCCGACTAGAACTGACACTGAAAATTTCATTGATAGGTATAGAATTCTATATATTTTTTATTTGTTTTTTATTTGATTTTCTTTTAAATATTCACGTGTAGTCTATAGCCGGGCAAGCCAAAGCCCGGACCCGCTTCGCGGGCCCGGTCTTTGACTTCCCCGTATTAAATTCATCATTGAAATTCAATGCAGACATATAGGAAAAGTTAAGTACGCCGATAATACGGAGTTCCATGCTACGAGTTTTGAAAACGTTGATAAAACTTTGTTTGTTTATTTTATTTCACTCTATATTTTTTCAAGCGAAATAAAGATTATTAAAAGTGAAATAAATGTAAAACTTAACATGTTTGCGACATTACAATAGCGTACTTGATTTTGAATGTTTTGCACGTGCTGTTTGGCGCTACATTGTGATGTCACGTAAACAATACTTTAAACGTCTGTACAGCGTTAATGACTGAATAAAAGATATTGGTGTTCGGATTCATTTTCTTAGTTAGACCATTTTCTTTCATTCTAGATAGATTTTACATTAAAATTCGACAAAAAATTGTTTTTATTTATCAGATTTTTCAAACAAAATGGTGCCTTCAATGTGAAAATACACGGGGAGATAATAAGAACGGAGAGTGCATTGTCGTAGAATAATGCACGCTTCGGGCCTTCTTTGTTTTTATAGAGAAATTTATGATAGTGTTAGAATGTTTTGTCTCTTCAAAAAGAGAAGGTAAATGTACATTTAATGAAATCAGGCAAAACCTATGTACGGGAAAAGTCGGTTAAAATAATCGTTCAATTTTCATTTTACATTTTCCGTTTTAAAACTGTCATTCGATATTTTATACACAGCTTCCGTTATTCTGGCTCCCTGTCCAATTATGGTTCCCATAGACGTGCGCGGGTGACCAATCTACACATCCGTTTTCAATCAGAATTCCTCAGTTTTTATTGTTATCTTTAAATTCGAAAAGTTGCGATGTGTCCAATTCGGTACTTCGGACGAAAGTTTTCAAAACCATCACTTAGCAGGTACTCGCGTTACCGTAAAGCTCGCTTTGCGAGCAGGCCCTTTGGGCCAGCTCGTCGAGCTCGCTATTAATGCAAGGCCCATTGTTACAAAGTATCAGAATGAAATAATATGAGAAAGGCAAAGCCTCAAAGCGAGCTCGATTTTCTTTTACCGTAAGATAGTTTAAAATAATCGTTCATTTTTATTTTACATTTTCCGTTTTAAAATTGTCATTCGGTATTTTATACACTGCTTCCGTTTATTCTGGTTCCCCCTTTCTATTATGGTTCCTATAATATGAAATTAGGCAAAGCCTATGAACGGGGAAATCGTTAAAAAATCCTATCATTCTTTCCGTTTTAAAGGTGTCATTCGATAATATGAAATTAGGCAAAGCCTATGAACGGGGAAGTCGTTAAAAAAATCTGTTCATTCTTTCCGTTTTAAAGGTGTCATTCGGTATTACATGCACCTCTTCCGTTTTCACTCGGAACACTCGACGTTAATTATTTATCCGAAAAGTTGAGATTTGTTCCTTTATCGGAATACCCCGCCTATTATCATTTAGTTACATTTGATAGGTATAGAATTCTATATATTTTTTAAATGTTTTTTATTTGATTTTCTTTTAAATATTCACGTGTAGTCTATAGCCAGGCAAGCCAAAGCCCGGACCTGCTTCGCGGGCCCGTCTCTGACTTCCCCGTACAAGTGCGCAGGACACCAGTCTACGCTTCCGTTTTCAATCAGAGTACATCTGTTTTTATCGTTATCTTGTAATTCGAAAAGGTGCGATGTGTCCAATTCGGTACTTCTGACGAAAGTTTTTAAAACCATCACTTAGAAGGTACTCGCGGTACCGTAAAGCTCGCTTTGCGATCAGGCCCTTTGGGCCAGCTCGTCGAGCTCGCTAATATAAAAATGTATGCAAAGCCTACGAATGGGGTTGTCGGTTTTAAAAATAGTTCATTTTCCCATTTTAATCAAATTAATGATGTCATTCGACCATGATTTGGTATTTAATGCACCGCTTCCGTTTTTATTCGGAATAGCCCGGGGTTCTATGATATCACGGTACTTAAGGTTTATAGGAAAATATACAAATAATATGAAATTAGGCAAGGCCTATGAACGGGGAAGTCGTTTCAATTTTCAATTTTAAAGGTGTCATTTGGTATTTCATGCACCGCTTTCGTTTTCACTCGGATGTTTTATAGCATGTTTTATCAGTTTAAATAATCATTTGATTAATGTCATGTCCAATGTTTACAGAGGCATTGAAGGCCCATCTGGATGAGAATCATCACCGACAATGTTAAATACATGTACCAAGCAATTTTTGCTTAACTATTTCAATTTGTGATTGATACCCGCCCATTATCGGCATTAAACCAATCACAGAGTCACTTTTGCATGAGGGCAAATCAATCAATCACCTATACTGGTGAAATATTTTTTGTTTGTTCAGACAAAATGTTTCCCATTTGTCACCAGCTTAAGTGCTTTGGACATATTTTGTTAATACTTCATATGCAAGAAAAAGCTTTTTTAAATCCAACAATGTGTTGCAACAACTTCTGACAACTTGTTATTCATTTGAATTCTAAAGATAATTAATTTCTACATGTATATGTATATTACAGAGCAGTGGTGATGCATCAGACAGACCAAGAGGTGGTTTTGGGAAACCATCCATGCCAAAGAAAAAGGAACCTGTCAAAACTTACAAGAGAGCGTCAGATGTTAGAGATGAAGCAGAAACAAGACCTCTTAATATGGGAGACTTCCAAATGGCCATTGTCAGGGGCCATACAGACAGAGTTCAACAATACATGAACTTAGGTGACATATTTGAACAATTATTTGAATGTCTTATTTATTTTGAACAGTTATTTAAATGTTAGGTCCATTTTGAACAATTTTTTGAATGTTAAGTTTATTTTGAACAATTTTTTGAATGTTGGGTCCATTTTGAACAATTATTTGAATGTTGGGTCGTTTTTAAACAATTATTTGAATGTAAGTCTATTTTGAACAATTATTTGAATGTTAAATCTGTTTTGAACAATTCTTAAAATGTTATGTCCATTTTGATCTTGTATTCACAGATACCATACCAAATATTTTAACTGAACTTGTCCATCTTTCAATCTGGACTAAACCATTAATCATTTATGAAAAAAGGGAAAATTAGAAAATACATATTGACTGAATTATGAACAGTGCAGACCATGATCAGATGGAACAAATGTGGCTGTTGATCTTGTTGTGTACCAATGGCATAGAATCTGTTACAGTCAGCAGGTTAAAGGTTAAACCAAATCATAATATAACATGTATGCACTGTTTTAATGTAGCATTTAGGCGTTTAGAAATAAAATAGGAAAATGAATCAATTTCTTGCTACCCTATGAAATTGGCAGTTCAGTCAGTGTAAATTTTGTGTATATCTTATAAACTTATCTTGTCAACTAAGGAAGAGGATTACATAATATACATACATTTGGTTGAATGAGGAAATAGTATTTCTTATGTTATGTAAAAAAATCTCCTATGCAACATGTTGAGGAAAAATGTTTTTAATCTTTCAATGAATTCATAATCCATATTTGCTCTACACAAACAAAGTCCTGTACATTGATGTATATTTTAAGGGTTATTTTAACAATTCGTTTATCTTATGAGACAGGTTTCCGTGTGGATACAGAATTAAAAAGTGGCTGGTCTGGTCTGATGTACGCAGCAAACAATGCCAACTCTGATATAATAAAAGTTTTATTAGACAATGGAGCAAATTCCAACTTTAATAAAGGTATAAATATCGTAGTGTATCTATGTTTAATTCTCTGAATGTTTACAGCAATAAAATCATTTTTGTTACCATTAAAGGGCATGTCTTTGTAGTCTAAAAAGACTGTACATATGTAATTTGCTGCTCTTTAAAAACCATTAAATTTTACGCTGTTTGGTTTATACAGAATTTTTTTGATTTGATTGTGTAGGAAGCTATAAACTTAAAGAAACACTTTTTAATTTGTTCCTGGAACCAACCAGTACTGAGCAATGAGTTTAAAGTTTCTTGCTGAAGGAAACAACAACTTGTCCCTGACATGGTTTGAACCCATGTGGCTAGCGATCATTGAAGCTAAGCCTCCATGGCTGAATAGTTAAGGTCATTGATTTCTAATAACTTGCAGCTCACTGCTTTGAAATCCTGCCTTTTCATTGTAGGAGTTTATATAAGGTTGCCTGAAATAATGTATGAGGACATGTGAGAAATTCCTCTACATGTTAAGCTGGAAAATTATCATTTGACCTTGCTTAGCAAGTCTGCTGCTGTGTTTGTACATTGATAAATTTTGGCCCCTTCTACTGAATACTAGTATAAGAACCTCAGTATTTTCATCCTGAAATTTGATAGAGTTGCAAATACTTTAAGCATAAATATCTAGGGCTACTGTCTACTTAATGATAGTTGTTATTTGTGAGATGTTTAATTAAAGTTTTGTGTTTTATGTTAGACATGTATACAGTATTAATGGCAGCTTGTGGAGCAGGAGGGTATCAGGAAGATGATGTGTTGGCTGTTGTTGAGTTGTTGCTAGGTAACGGTGCTAATGTGAATGCCTACGACAGGTAAATACAAGGTTAAATATTAGTGGTTGGCTTTATAAAAGATGTTATGAAAATTTATTGTCAAATTTTTTAGACTGCTTTTACTGAAATTTTTGTTTAAACACTATGGTGTTTTTCAAGCCTGTGACTGAATACTTTTCAAATACAGATAAAGGAGCTTAGCCCAGATGTCAGATGCAAATAGCGGGCAGTAGTTGTTTTAACTAATAGGAACTTGGTCTTCTCCTAAGTAGGTTCTACCAGAGTCTTTGGACACAGCTAGCTTATAGAAGTTTAATGATTCTTCTCAGGTGCTGAATAAAGTAATATAATAATATTATGCTTGCCACCTTCCTGAATAATAAAATTTTATTCAATTTGTTCAATATTCTGTTGGTACTATAGTTAAGTATTGAATTTTCATGTTGTAAGAATAAAGGCAAGTGTTGTTCTTTCAGGTATCATACATCACCATTGATGTATGCTTCCAGGGAAGGCCGTGTTAAAGTTATAAAAAGATTATGTGAAGCTGGGGCAAATGTGAACAAACAGGACAACAGGGGCTGGACGGTAAAAATTTTTATGTTTGAATACCAGCTAAGACTCATGTTGTCACTATGTACCTTAGTGCTTAATTTAACCAGGTGCCTTAGTAATTGTCAGGTTTTGTGGCACATATCTGTATGTAATATATAGAGTTTTTCTTTTTTCTTTTGGAAACTCCTACATGGGATTTTGAACATGAGTTTTGGAAACTCCTACTTGGGATTTTGAACATGAGACGTCACCTCAATGCAATAACTTATTTACTCCTGTTAAATTTAAAATTACTTATTTTTTTACTGCACTAAGGTAACAATCTGTTCTGAGGTCTATTGTCACCAAGTGCCCTTCCTGATGTTGCATTTTGTAATTTAATCAATGATGTAGTGTTTCTATACATGATCATACATGCCAGTTTAAGGTAAAAAAATTAAGGTAACAGTGTTTGGTCAAATGATTGAACCAGCAATTTGTGTCTGCTCTATCTATCTTGAACTGCCTTAGGAATGTTCTTTATACTTTAGTCCAATGATTGTTTACCCCATATTGCATTACCCTCTTTTTATGCATGATAAACATTGAAGTTATGGATGATACATGTTTTGGACAGTTTTTATGTACAACCTTTAGAAGTTAATGGAAAAAGTATTTTTAAGTTAATCAAACAAATTCCCTCTTTGACATACATAGTGGTGTGAATGTGAAACTTTTTCCATTTAATTAATGAATTCTTAACCTTTTAATAAATGTCTACATCACTATATGAATATTTTGCCATGTGAAAATATCTCTCTATTTTGTTTTAAAGGGACTCACTCCACTGAAGTTTTTTGAAATGACTGGACTGGAAATAATTTTTCGACATTCATGTTCCATTTGATTTTGGTCAAGACCAATAACTTTTGTGTAAAATTTCAGATCATTTGCTCACCCTGACTTTCCAGAATAATTATTCTTAATGTGAAAAAATGACCCAAAATTGAAAAGCGTTGCAACACTTTTCACTCCTAACGGGCTAAGAATAGCACAATAATACGATTTTCAATTTATTTCTGAGTGTAATTCTTAATTATGCTTTGCAAATCATTCTGTGTTGAATACCCCGGTTGATTTGTGTAAGGCATTCAAATTTTATTTTTTAGACTTTTGACCTCAGTGGAGTTCCATGAAGACATTAGTCACTTCTCTCCCTTTTTTCTTGGCTAAGCTTGAAAGCTGAAGTTAATTTTCATAGGTCAGTGAGAAATAACAAGAAAAAATACTTTCTTTTAGTATGTTATTGTAGTATTTGCCATAACTTAAACAAGCATGCATAACACCATGATGACACTTTATAACACATATCAAAATATTTTCAACTGCACAAGCTATTTTATTTGATATATCGATATATTGTTGATTTTTGAATTTCTATATATTGATACATCAATATCAATCTCATCAATTACAGCCCTTTTTATAGATATTTGTTGATTAAAAATGTTTAATGCTTGATATTTTCATGTTTTGTTAAAGGCATTGACTTGGGCAGTGAGTAAAAATCATCGTGATACAGCAAGGTGTCTGTTAACATGTAAAGCCGATCCACGTATCAAACATTGTAATGGACAGACTGTGATAGACATGGCTGAAACTAATTCTAATTTTCAGGTAACATCTTTTGTTTTCAATAAGATAAGTAATGATCTAGGAATATAATCAATTTCAATAAGAAGAATTTGATTTAATTTATAGCGAAACATTGTTACTTTTTCATAGGCATAAAACATGAAATTGTCGCAAATACCCACTCTGCTGTCCTTTACAGGTATGTTTTTCTTGTAAGAGATTAGGTTCCTAAGGCAGTACTAAAATTTCAATATTATTAGCCAGTTTTTCAAAATATAATGAGAAATCAAGTCTTGTTCCTGACCAGTTTGCCAAATAAATTGATTATCATGTGTTGTACTAAGCCAGGTTTACCAAATCAAAAATAAATATCATTATTGGTTTTTATCAGATTTATTAAATAATCACTTTATGAAGTCAGTTTAGCAAATTGAAAAAATTTACATGTCTGTTTGCAAAATATTATAAAGTATGATTCCTGAACAGAGATACCCAATCAAAAATTCATCAAATTCTGATTTTAAGACAGTTTTGCCAAATTAAGTCTCAAAACTGGCTCTTCTGGTGTTTTTTCAAATTGAAAAAAGAAAATGCGATCAAATATGACAAAACCAACATAATGTGTTTGCGACCAGCATGGATCCAGACCAGCCTGTATATCCATGCAGTCTGATCAGGATCAATGCTGTTTGCTATCAGTTTCTCTACTTGTAATAGGGTTGGTAAGCGAACTGCATGGACCCTGATCATAGTGCGCGGATGTGCAGGCTGGTCTGGATCCATGCTGGTCGCAAACGCATTATGTTGGTTTTGTCATGACGCGGCTCGTGTTAAGAAATGTCTTACATCAATATAAGTTGTGATAATTGTTCTTGTCTTGACAGATGTTAGAAATATTAGAGGGTAAAAAACGTGAAAACAGTCAACCTGAAGCATCAGTACAGGTTCAAGATTCTAGCTCAACACAAAACTCAAGGTTAGACTCATCCTTTATCCTGCTTTATATCTGAAATGGGCTTGTCCATCTTTAAATTTGGACATAGCCATTCATTAAATTTAGGGACAATTTTAAAATACATACTGACTGAAAGGCGAAAAGTGTAGATTATGATTAGACGGCACATAGTTTTCTCTCTAACAAGTTTTCTGTAAGTAGTTTTAATGAGGGATCATTAGTAAGTCATTTTTATTTGTAAAGTGTCATTTTCAAAAGTAATTTACAGAACCCATTTAAAAATTAATGGTTCACATTATGGCATAAAGTAAAGAAAAAATGCTCAAATTTTTACTAAAGTTTCTGTCACTTAAAAATTGAATGTCATTCTGAATAATATTGATATCCTAAAACACCTTTACATAAATTTTTGTTAATACTAAATTTTCTTGCTAAATTCTCAAGAATTTGAATCTTGCTATTTAAAGAAATAATGGATTTTTTTTTTGCATCTGAACAACAGCTCAAAGGAGGCCTATGGTACAACATATGGAGATTTGGAGTTATTTCTGTGTGGCCTTGACCTTAGTAATCTTGTAGATGTATTTCGACGTCAACAGATAGATTTCAGCACTTTCCTGCGTCTCACTGATGAAGATTTGATCAAGGTAAAATCTAGCCTCACTACGAGTTTATTTGATTTGGGAATGAGAGTAAATAAAAACTGTGGTCCTTTTTAACACAAAGTCATTTTTATCTAGCTCCATGTTTCTGAGAAAAAAATGGAACTTTTGCCCGATTGCAGGGCTCCAGATAATTTTTTAGGGCAATGAGTATTTAATCATTGATTTTTTTGTGAATGAGTAAAACTTGAAATCTGAAATTTGGCAGGAGTATTTTTACTCCTTAAAATGTATGTGAAAGAGTAAAACATTTATTATGCTTCCATGTTTATTGCATTATCATACTTGTAATACAAGATATGTCATTTCTTTTGCTTTTTGGACTCCCTTGGTTAATAATCTTGCATTTCCAAACGGCATACGTTTTATCTGAACCCGAGGCATGTTTCTGTTGATCATACATGGCAGCGCTAATTACTTCATTAATTATAACCTTCACAATTACTTTTTGGTTGATTTTTTTCAGCTGAAAATACGCGTCAATTGTTTTAACTTTTGACAGAGACATTGTACCGGATGTTTATGAAATTGCGTTAATTCCACCACCTTACTATACATACGATAACAACCGATAATAGTCGGAACTACAGGAAGTTATCGTTATACATAAAAGCATTCATACGAAGTTAATTCCACCACCATAGTATACAGTAAAAACTCTGAAAACCGGACCCTGTCTGGACTTGACCAAAAGTCCGGTTTTCAGAGGATTCCGGTTTTCAGAGGTTTTATACATTTATTGATAATTATGTTGTGTTTAACAATGACTTTGTTCAATCATTTTGTATTTACTTTTCAACCCTTTTGTCCAAGTCATATTTTAATTTCTTTTTGCAATAAATGACTTAAGTAATTTTATTATGCATATTCTGAAAATCAGAAATTAAAACAACACATTGTCTGAAATATATCTTTTCAATTGACTTTTGAAATATGTAATTAATGGAATTTATTACAATTTTTTCATAAAATTATTATCCAAACAAAGATAACTTCAAGGTCAAAATTTTAAGCAAAACAGGAATCATTTAACAAAAGTTACCCAATTATTTTTGACATTTTATATAAATTAAAACAAATTTAAAACATTTTGAAAAATCATACCTATACAGGGAAAGAGAATGTAGGACAAAACCCCACCAGTTAAAACCCCACCACTCAAAATTTTATAGAGTGGACAAAACCCCACCACTAAATTTTATAGAATTTATAAATTTTATTCCCTATATGCATATAGTAAAAACTTCAAAAATCTTCTTTTAAAGAACTCAAAGAGCTAGAGCTAAGATATTTAACATGAAACATGTTCTTATGGGTGTCTACCAAGTTTGTTCAAATAAAAGCCCTGGGGTCAAAATTGGCCCGCCCCGGGGGTCATTGATTTTTCCTTATATGTGTAAAGCAAAAACTTAAAAAATCTTCTTTGAAAAAACCCAAATAGCTAGAGTTTAGATATTTAGCATGAAACATCTTCTAGTGAGTGTCTACAAAGTTTGTTCAAATAAAAGCCCTGGGGTCAAAATTGGCCCGCCACGGGGGTCATTGATTTTATGTGTATAGCAAAAACTTAAAAATCTTCTTTTAAAAAACCCAAATAGCTAGAGTTTAGATATTAAGCATGAAACATCTTCTAGTAAGTGTCTACAAAGTTTGTTCAAATAAAAGCCCTGGGTCAAAATTGGCCCGCCACGGGGGTCATTGATTTTATGTGTATAGCAAAAACTTAAAAATCTTCTTTGAAAAAACCCAAATAGCTAGAGTTTAGATATTAAGCATGAAACATCTTCTAGTGAGTGTCTACAAAGTTTGTTCAAATAAAAGCCCTGGGGTCTAAATTGGCCCGCCACGGGGGTCATTGATTTTATGTGTATAGCAAAAACTTAAAAATCTTCTTTTAAAAAACCCAAATAGCTAGAGTTTAGATATTAAGCATGAAACATCTTCTAGTAAGTGTCTACAAAGTTTGTTCAAATAAAAGCCCTGGGTCAAAATTGGCCCGCCACGGGGGTCATTGATTTTATGTGTATAGCAAAAACTTAAAAATCTTCTTTTAAAAAACCCAAATAGCTAGAGTTTAGATATTAAGCATGAAACATCTTCTAGTAAGTGTCTACAAATATTGTTCAAATAAAAGCCCTGGGGTCAAAACTGGCCCCGCCCCAGGGGTGTCAATGTTTTTAACTATATGTGTATAGTAAAAACTTTAAAAAAACCAATGAGTTAGAGCTTAGATGTTTAGCATGAAACATGTTCTTATGGGTGTCTACCAAGTTTGTTCAAATAAAAGCCCTTGGGTTAAAATTGGCCCTGCCGGGGGGTAGGGTGCTATATACAGGTGAGCGACCTCAGGGCCCTCTTGTTCTTTTAACCTGTGCATTTTTTCTTACAAAATGGCCTATATTTTAAGAATTTAAAGTACCTATATTTTCATTGAAAAAGATAAACAGAAACGATGTAAGGAATTGCATGTTATTATGTATTGTACTCAACAATAAAAAGAAAAACATAATCCAGAAGTAAAAACAAGAATTCATTTAAGTATGTATAAGTTATGCCCTTGAAATGACCTCAAATAAGTAGAAAAGTCTGCTTCAGGGGCAGATAACTCAAAAACAGTGACCCCAATTTTTTTTCACTTTCTATTTGACAGTTTTAATTTTGCCTATATGTCTATATGAAAACTCCTAAAAAAATAGCTAAAAAGACTGGTGTGTGCTGTCCAAAGAACGATCTTGTTATGACATAGTTTGGGCAGTTGTACTTACTAGTAAATTATAATTTTGAAAGTAAATTGACTGACTTAATAATTAATAAATTTGGTTAATTCATGAAGTGGTGCTTTAGCAGTAAGCATTGTTT